GTCAATGCGAATGTTTTATGCGTGTAATGTTTGCGTTACAATGACTGTTTTAATAAGTCTAGTTTACGAATGTGAGATAATGCGGTGTGGCTTAATGTAATGTGGAATTCATGCACTTACTAACAGCTGTATGCATGTAATGCACGACTGAGCTCTTCACATCGTCAAAATAATGCGCAAACATTGATACGTGTATCAACACAACCATGTTGTTCAATCATCATTAAGAACAATGAAGCAATCGCTTAACCAAGGGGAGAAGGAAGAGCTTTTATGATAATCAATATGGCAATAATGCAGGCAGTCAAGCATGAAGACGAATGTGATTAATGGAGGGGAAAAAGTATACTGTTTGAGATAAATATATGGGGCCATTATTTTGGCTAAAATTCGTGCATAATTTTGATAAGTGGTGTAAGTCGATGACACGATACCGAATGCCCATGTCATTATCAGAATCGACTTCACCTGTTTTGCTTAATTGGGAGACTACGGGGGGGGGGGGGTTAAACCCCTCCCTATCCCTTGGCCCGCAAAAACAGGAAAATAACATTAAAAAACAACATCAAAACAACACATGCCTGCTACCTGGCCCCGCCAGCTAACCCTCCTCTTGAGGCAAACCTGGATCCGCCCCTTACTTACCACAACGACATTGTAACTATATATTTAAACTGTCCCTATAACTGCCGTGCATAGTATATCATTTGCTTTTTGAAAGCCTTTTGTGATTTTTGTTTCGTTTGATACAACACAATTGTTCAAAATCTTAAGAAGGGTGCATTGTTATAACGTGTTGAAGTTTCTACATAGTTGGTACTATACATTTTGAGAAAACAGAAAAGGTGTGCCCAAAATTCCGTTGCTAACGTATGAAAAAAAACCTTCGCTCGCAGACACACTTTCTAAAACTATACCTTCATTAATACCATTTCAGGTTAAAATGTTCACGGTATTTAATACCATAACTATCTGCACTATGAGCAAGGATTTTCTCGTTCAATCGCTTGGTACGTTGGTGGTATAACCGCAAATGTTCCGACGTTCCTTTAACGACAATGGACTTTTGTAATTTCCAGGGAATCGTTCGCACGCTACACATTAAGATAATAACCCGCATAAAATTATCATCTACATAATGTAAAAATCATGGGAGACACACTATCGAAGGATGGCAGTAATAATCCAGGCTCGAGTCAATGATCGTCGTGCATGGCTGCTTTGGGATAATAATAGAAATTTTTCATGAAGAGATAAATTATTAGCTAGAGGTTACACCTCTACATCCATGGATGACAACAAATGCACGTTTCCATTCTCCCTTTTCTTTGCCTTTGAATCAACTGACAACTTTCAGCAATAAGGTGTTTGAAAGGATGTTTTTTTTTTATTTCCATAGGGCAAACTGTAGGCTGGGAAAGAATTTAAGCTCGTTTAATTGGTCATGCTTCGCTATACCGGCAGCTGCCCTTAATTTATTAATGGCGTCACTGATTCGAAAAGGGACTGGTGCAACAACTGTAGCTGTTGAAGGATGATGTAGTTGTTGTTTCTGTTGTTGTCACTGTCGTTTTCGTTTTATCTTGTTGTTCTTATTATATTTATATTGTTTGTGACTGCCAAAATGTATTAATGTCATATTATTCCTGTTGGCCTTTCTAGGAGACATTTGAAGGAAGAGGAAATATAAATATCTTTAAGGATTTCAACAACATCACCTATATTAGGTTGGATTGAATTTGATAATCCTACGCGAATTTAATAATCTTGTAATTGTATTATAGTCAATATAGCTCTATGATTATAGTCGATATAATGCAAAACAGTGAACAGGTGGAAACCATACAATCAATTAACAACGTGGCCTATATTGGCCGAATCCATTGTTCCATGTAGTGTGTTGATGCATTGATGCATAAAAGACTAAAAGACGTATTTGGCATCTATCTCCATAAAAGGCAAATTTGATTTTTCAAGCAGCGTACTCAATGTGGATGAGCGCATATAGTCTTTGCCACTTGAACCAAATCAGCACATAACCTCATGGTGTTACACATTAGTGCGGGCTCCATATCACCCCCTCCAGTTTCCAAAGTAATAATGACCACATGAAGACGAAATATAAGACTAAAAAGATGATACCGGACAAAAGTATACGTAAGACTTACCAAAATACAGTAGTTGTCTATATTTCACGAGCCACAGAAGATTGCACTTATTTCCGCGTGAGTACACAAATTATGGCGCCAACTTGGTACTGATATTCTCAAGTTATCTGGTCTGCAGCAAAACTTTCTCCAAAATCACACTTTAACCAGTTTTTCTATTCACCACCATATCCATAACGATGTGCTAGTTGACTATCCACTGGAAAATCGCCAGTAGTGAGAAGATTTAAATCCAAACATGAGTCGCTTCTCTGGTAATCGTCACAACATATCACGTCGATCGTTGCGATCAGCCCGTGCTTCATACTGCAGTCAGTCCACGTGCAGACGACACTACTCGCGCAGCATTGATAAAAAGGCGGGAAACAGGCCTGTGGAGAAAAGTGTGTTGACGAATCCAATAGTGTGATAATGATGAACGCGAAATGACACCGTCGTTCATGTAAATCCCAACGTGGGCTCACAGTAACTGGCTTCCATGTGCAGCTTACAAAAAGAAAATTATCAACAATTTTTGCCACGAGCAAGTACCAGGTGAATCTGCCAGCCAGCTGTTTATCCACGACGTTTCACCAGGGCAGTGTTCAATGTAAATAGTTCCTGGTTGCTGTGGCGCTCTACCGTAGTATATACCGCGCGTGCAGCAAGGCTGTTTAATCCAGCGTACTAAATGGGTAACATTTTCCTGCTTGAAACGCAAAGCTCATGATGCGTGCGACGGCTGTTCAAGCATTTGACAATTTTGGGGAAATTACGCATCAAAATTAGCACAACGTTAAATTTTTCAAGCAACAAATGGAATGGTGGTATGTGCGTCATGAAGTATTAGTTTTTAAATTGAATGGGGATTAAGAATTTAAATGTTGCCTCTATGTAGGTGCTTAATTTGAAGTCATACATTTCCTATTGAAAAAAAAAATCAATAATGTCAATTGAACATCCATTAGATATATCGAGTAAATCAATTATCTAATTGTTCATACCCGTTATCGGACTCCCATCCTTTTATGCAATTAACAACGGTGGTTTACCGTGCTAACTGAATATGTTTACCTTCACATTTAAGTATGCAGAGCAATATGCAGTATGGGCCATTAAACTTGGAAGCGGTGCAGTGAAGCAAAACAGTTTTCCGCTCATTTAAAGCCGGATTACGATATAAAATGATCATGTCTTATTAACATTTAAAGTGGGCAGTTGGGCGTTCAGACATTCTCGATGGGTTAGGTAGAGCACAATTTACGTAAACCAAACTAAGTTTGTCTCGTAAATAATGAATAAATATATACTGAGGGCGCTCTTTGCAAACTCTTCATCATCTGTCACGATGTCCTGCGATAGTTATAGGCTACATGTATTAACTTTGGATCTGTCTTTTGACGTGGTATTAAAATACCTCTCAATTTCCTTATTTCAAAATAATAAACGGGAAATGGATAGGCCTATTCCACTCAATCAATATTTTCACCGACAATCGAGAATTTCAAGGGGTCACATTCAGAAATTTTGCCAGCTTGGCTATGATAAAACTAGGGCATGCAAGGAAGTTCATCTCCACCATCAATGATTGGAACATGTTACCAGCTAATACAGAAAGTTTTAAATCAATTCTCCTGCAACACTAATTTTTAATGGCTCAATGGATGAAGATGAAATTGAAGATGAAGTTGAAGGTGAAGTTGAAGATTTAGATTTACATGAATGTAAGCATTGATTCAAGAGTGATAAAAAATATTGTCTACTCTAAATTGCAGAGTTACAAAAATGGCAGCAGTTATGCCGCTAATTTAAGTTATGCTGCTAGTTATCTTCAGGGTTTCCACTTTGTCTTCCGGGATCGATGGGGCCGACGAGACGCACTCGTATCCGCGTACTGACAGTGACTTGAGGACGCACTACACGATGTTGGTACCGAACGCCTGACTACAATCAAATCCAGCAATAAGTATTCGTCACGCCAGGTAGCGTGGCCGAGCGGTCTAAGGCGCTGGTTTAAGGCACCAGTCATTTCGATGGCGTGGGTTCGAATCCCACCGCTGCCAAGAATTTCTTTTTATCCCCTATCACTCTCTAAAATAATTATCGTTGTTTCGGACTATTTACAAGATTTAAAAAATTAACTTTTAATTAATACGTCTGCGTGGTTGCCATTATTCCACTTCGGTTAAATTTCTTAAAATGTATTGTAAATAAATGTGACTAAAATAAAATAATAATAACAAACTTGAAACGACAAACACGTTGGGAAATTTGTTCCCTCCTAGACCAAATACCCCACTTTTTGGTCCACTTTCTTGCACATGATTCTTAACAGTAAATGTTGTATTATGTGAAGGGAAAAATGGTTTAATGATTGAAATAATTGAAAAAAATGGTTTCATGATTAAAATAAATATGATTGAAATTAACTTGAATTTGTTCATGACATTTCGCAAATGGCACTTTCTAAATTACTCCGTTTAAGCAATGTTCATCCAAGAGGTTACAACCCAACTTTAATACATCATCCAGCTTCACCCTTATAATTTTCTGCGAGACACTACTTCCGCATGTCCTTCTGATGAGCAGACAAGGAAAACCCCTTTTAAACTTAATAGAACAGGCCAGTAGCTACCAAGTACATCACATGGCAGAAATTTACCCACAATTCAAGAGTATATTGCATTTTTCTTCATGTTTTTTTACTTTTTAATCAATGGATATATTTTTTTTTGTAAAAAAAATAACATTGGATAATTATTTTGTTATAATTTAATAGAGTTATTCGATTTTATTAGAATAAAAACCTCTTTTTGATTTTCACTTTCAGCAGGCCTGACAAAACTTTAGACCATGGTAAGGATCGGCCATGTTAGATCTACTTCCTTTATCGTGAGTTTGCCGGGAACGGTAATTCTGGACGAGTGATTTTTTTTTGTATTTTCTCCCGATTTTCTGATCAGTCGGGGTAAAGAAGCTACAAAATGGCTGGTAGACTACCTGCATGTGTTATAGACCCAGGGACGGGGTGAGTTAACAATGATTAAGGGTATACTTCGGTGCGAATCTGAGACATTGTGCCTGGGCGTTTTCCATTTTGCATGTAAAGTTTATGGGGGCGTGCATGGGTTGTATTGCGGGATTACAGTTTTACTTCCTGTAGTGCTGGTGAAGATGTCGTTTCAGAAAGAGTGCATCAGCATTCACCATAGCGTCACTTTTTCATCATATTCAGCTTTTATGACAATCAATAATTGCAGGAGGGAAAGCATGCCATTTTTGTTTTCATGTAAAACGTTAAAACCCATGAAAACTATGCACCAAATTTAGTTGATGAACTGAAAACGAAATGACAGAATTCCATACCTGATCATCACTGGACATCCTGTGCAAAAACCCTATGACTATGAGACTGGTCTGAGAATCTAAGCTTTCTCTCACTTTCTCAGTAAATGCTTCAATATTTTCTTTGCTAATTCTTTTTGGGACCTTTTGTGTGTTTTAGGACATGTTATCGCTTTCTGACACAGCAGATAAGTCACTGCAGGAAAAAGTAGTGATATTCATTGTGGAATTCTTTCTGTCACAACCTCTCGACTTATTTTTGCTAATACAATTTTGATTGAAAAAAAATAAATCAGCTAACACAGTAACAGCATGTACATGTATTCATTACCATGGCATGGTTACGTTAAGAAAATATTAATATCTATGACACAGCTAATTAGCAATGATACAGGTATAATTAATCATGCTTCAGAATTGTGATCCAAAACTCGTAGTGTGTAAATCTCCTTGACCATTACTTGTTGATGGATGTATAAGATTTGAAAAGCACATTTTCAGGTTATTCGCTAAGCTCTGAATGTACCAAAAATGTCCAATTTGTAATGTCAGTGATGCTGGAATTGCCTGTATAATGTATTCACTACATGGATACCGTGATTATGGTACAATTCTGAGTAAACATTTAGTTTCTCAAATTTATCAGTTAATGAGTATGACTTATTAATTAATTAATAAGACAGTGCAGATGTCAGTAAAAAGTCTATTTCCATGTTATAGTAGATATTCTAAACTCAAGCAAAACATCCTTAAAAATCTTTCAAGAAGAAAATAATCCACAATATTTGATATATGAGATTTAGAACTAAGACTAGATTTGGTGCTTTATTTTGATGAAGTCCCATACAACTGTGCCAACTATGCTATATAAACACAGAAACAGGAAGTAGATCTAACCAAGCATGAGAGTACACGTCATTCATCCTGTGTATGATCACAGGCGTACATCTTCAAAATAAATAAATATACATAAAATATTGAAATCAAATGTATACAACTTTGGAACATGTAGAATTCAGAAATTATGTAAATACTGTGTGTTAAGAAAACCAAAGGAGTTACAGGTTTTGTGTTTAAAACATGCATTCAGTCATTACATTGTAGTACTGGACCTATATCATGTTTCCCAAAATGACAATATTCTTTCCATTTCTGGTCATATCTGCAGGTACACAAAGATGGGCTTTGCTGGGAATACTGAGCCGCAGTTTATTATTCCCTCAGGTGGGTATTACATTTAATTATCTCCATTTGGTTAAGTTATCAACACTGACACTGATCACATTAAGGGTGACATTTTAGATCTATTACCCCTAACCCCTTAGGCCATTTTTGCTTGGAACCATCTTCAATCCTCCACAATCTTCCAAAATTTTGCACTTATGTTCAAATGAAGGATACCCACTGCCTCAATCCTTTAAAATCCTCCATCAGCCCTGCCTCTCAAAATGCGTTTAGCCTCAATCCTCAAAAATCCTCTTCTTCAAACACCATTCAGCCTCAATCCTCTAAAAACAACCGGTTCTGAATGTCCATGAGCCCTCAATCCTCCACAATCCTCCAAAATTGTATTTTGCATTCAGCCTCAATCCTCCAAAATCCTCCAAAACCGCCTGGAGGACTGTGGAGGATTTAGTAAGGTTAGCATTAATCGATTGAAATGTATCTTGAAAACTGAGAATAGGGTAGAAACAACCAGAAAACCACAAGGGAGTGCCTAAATAAAATAAAATAAAGTGCTGTATTTGAAATCATCCCAACTTTTTACTATTTTTGGTGCTAGTTTAAAATCATGAAAGTATTTTATTGTTTTGTTTTTCCCCTTAGCTATCGCCATCAAGGAGTCGGCCAAAGTGGGTGAGAAATCACAGCGTAGATTAGGCAAAGGTGTGGACGACTTAGATTTCTTCATCGGTGACGAAGCGATCGACAAGCCAAATTATGCATGCAAGGTCAGTCAGTAAAGAGATTGGATTGAATTACCCTTTCACCTTGATTTAGCAATTATCATGTTGACACGTTCTTGTTTTTAAAGTTGAACTAAGAAATTGACTGGAGTGATTCTTTGCTCAACTTTTGAAATATTACTATCATGTACCTAGTCAGTTTCCCTTTGACTGATTTAGAAAAAAAATATTTGAAAATCTGTTTTTGATACTGGTAGTATTTTTGATAATTTTTTTACAAAATGATGTTTATGCACCATACATCAAGCAGTGCAATGTATTAATATTGCCCATGTGCAACATATTTGAATAAACATATTAAATCTTTGAATTGTTCCATAGTTCAGCCAATTATCAAAGTCTGCACCTGACCATTGATTTTTCCTGATTATCTAAGTTAAATATTACCATTATATGACACAAGATTTGTTGACCTACGCAATGTGGAACATTGCCTTCTAATCCCAGTAACACTTGCATTATACCCTCATTATTATTATACCCTTGTTATTTCATTTTGTTTACTTCTGGGTGAATCTGTAAAACTGTACAATGCTTCGGTAGTGTCTCGTCAAGGCTTTTTGAAAAAAGGAAGGAGGTCCAAAGGAACCCTCACCTTTTCTACAAGAATTTTAACTTGCATTCATAGCTACAAGTTTGTGGGAAACAAAAAGGCAAAATATGTTGCAAATGTATGGGCATGAAAATGGAAGCGGGCGGGTGCGTGTTTATTATTTGACTTGGTCTGACAGGCAGGGCGCATTGGGGCGGTATAGGAACTCATTGGTTGATACCCTGTGGGCTCATGACATCCTCAACTTTGCCTTGCTTGCCATTTGCCCCTCTAGTGTAGGAATGGGATGTCCCGTGTCACATAAGTCAAAGTGCTAAATTTTATGAAGTTTGTTGTCTTTTACATCAATATGAAGTCTCGACTTGATCAAACTGGTTGTTTACTCTCATTTGTAGTACCCTGTGCGTCATGGTATCGTGGATGACTGGGATCTGATGGAGAGGTTTCTTGAGCAGACTATCTTCAAGTATCTCAGGGCAGAACCTGAGGATCACTACTTCCTTCTGGTAAGTCAGTCAACATCTCTCCCCCCCCCCAAAAAAAGGGGGGGGGAGGGGATGAATACATATCAGCATACAGTGAAGGATTGTTAGGTGACTTTGTGGACTAGCAATTCATGGAGACCACGAGCAGTAAGCCAAGGACATTAACCCTAACCAGGTTATTTTGTTTAGGAACCCTGCCTGAACAAGAGCATGCAACAGTGGTCAAAGCCCGTTCATTGAAACAAGATACAACAGGTGAAAGTGCCAAAGTCTTACATGTACTTGTTCAGCAACAGGGTACAACAGTGGCACTGTTCAATGGGTCTAGCTCACATTGTTGTATGCAAGCATTTGTTGGTTCAAGTAGCTTCAGGATTGCCACAATTTTGGGGTTATAGTAAGCACAAATATCAAACTGTTAACCCTAACCTTCCCAAATCCTTCAAAATCCTCGTTGCAAAATGGAGGATTTTGCAGGATGGAGGCTATGTAGCAAAACTATGTGGCTGATTTTGGAGGATGCACTGTGTCAAGGTCTTGGGGTGTACCTTGTGTTGTTTATGCTCAGCCGTGCATAAATTTAGGCATAAATTATACTTGAAATCCTCTGCACTGCTCAAGGATGTCACTGGCTCTGCCTCAGGATATTGACAGTGATTGCTGGAGGATTTTGCAGGATTAAGGCAGTGGTCTCCCCTCCAAGGACCGCATGCAAGAAGTAAGAATTGCTGTATGCAATTTTTACATGGAGGCAGTCGGGGGATTTTGCAGGATTGAGGTTGCATCCCAGCAAAAATATCTAGGGAGTTAGGGTTAAGCAGTTTCCCCTAACAAACTGTACACTTTTTGTTTACTCTCTCCCTGTCTCTGTCTGTAGACGGAACCTCCTCTCAATACACCAGAGAACCGTGAATACACAGCAGAAATCATGTTTGAAACCTTCAACGTTCCAGGATTGTATATAGCCGTGCAGGTAATGTATATTCAAACTGGAAAAGTAGTTGTTGTACAATAATTATATTCCATTCCTTGTTTACAGCCATATTAAATCACAACAAAGAGAGACTGAAACTAAAACATTGAATTGTGTAATGGCTTAAGCTTGTTTATGCAACTACTGCATTGCAAGGCAGATTGCAATTGTAGGTCATACCATGCACCCCTACCTCCTAATATTGTTACAGAAATCTTCACTGAACCAGACATTTTAAAAGAATACACTGAAAGTTGACTAAATCTCAGTGTGTGATCCTAAATAAAATGATGCTAAGATGCCAGTAACCCAAATTGACTTTGAGAATGGATGTAACTCGACTCAGCTCCACTCGACTTGACACAATTCAACCTTGCTCAGCTAGCAACTCAACTTGACTTGAGTTTACTGCCTTAGAATGACTCAACTCAACTTGAATCACAAAGTTCAGTGACATGTTACAACAAGGAGTACAAGGGTCAGAGTGCAAGGGTTAATCATGATATTGTTTTCTTGTAGGCTGTGTTAGCTCTGGCTGCCTCCTGGACATCACGGCAAGTTGGTGAACGTACCCTGACAGGTACCGTCATTGACAGTGGAGATGGAGTCACTCACGTCATCCCTGTGGTACGTTGAAGCCTTAGACTTAGCATTTGAAAATCTGAACAAAACTTCTGACGTGTGCGTACCGCAAGCGGAATTAATTTCTGAGATAATTTCACTAAAACGCTTTCATTGTTTTTTGCAACTGTTTTTCTTATTGTGTTCCTCCCACACACAGGCTGAGGGTTATGTTATCGGCAGTTGTATCAAGCACATTCCCATTGCTGGTCGAGACATCACATACTTCGTACAGCAGCTGCTCCGTGAACGAGAGACTGGTATCCCGCCAGAGCAGTCTCTGGAGACCGCCAAGGCAATCAAGGTAGCTCTAGGTTTTCATTATCTTTTAACCTAGTTAACTAGTTAACGAACTAAACCTGGTTAAAGCTATCAATCTGGAGACCGCCAAGGCAATCAAGGTGGCTCTTGGTTTTGATAAACAGTTTAAACCTTGATAAACTGTTTAAACCTTGATAACTAGGTAACTAAACCTGGTTAAAGCCAGCACTATGTGGAGATTGCCAAGACAATCAAGGAAGCTCTTGGTGTTGTAAACCGTTTAAGCCTAGTTAATTAAACTACTAAACCTGGTCAAACAAACTCTGTGGTATTCCTGAAGGACTGGGGAATCAATCTAGGTCATAGGTTGCAGAGCTCTGTATTCTTGTAGTCTTGACTATCAAACTCAGGATCCAGTGGGTTCATGTTATGAAATAAAGTCATATAGATTTACCCTAAATATCTAGGTATTTTTGACTCCTGGATCTTTCAACGTATGCCATTAAGAAGAAATTAAAGAAATCAGTGGTAAATTCATTGTACTTCCGTTGTTTTGGGGCCATTAAGCCCTGTGTGAATTCATGATGGATGGGCATTACATTCCTCAACCCTTCAAAATCCTCCAACACCCCCTGGTTGATTTTGACAGTTCTTGGAGGGTAAGAGTTGATAGAATGATATCCCCATTCATACAGTGGCATGGGTGGCTTGTGCGTAAAGCGCTCGCCTCTCACCAAGGTGACCACGGTTCGAATCCTGGCCGCGGATTGCATGTGAGTAGAGTTGTGCGTTGGTTCTCTCCTGTGCCACGTGGGATTTTCTCCGGGCCCTCCGGTTTTCCTCCCTCCGGAAAAATCAAACACTTTTGATCTCAGGCTGTGCTCCGTGGTCATATATGGGTCGATGTGGCTGGCAGCCATAGGCGCCTTTATGTGCCAGCGGCCCGACCACGTTGTAGCCGCGTCCTTCGCAATTCAGCATACCAGCTGCGAGTAAGGATGATTAGCCTCCCAAATTATTATTATTATTATTATACCAAACTTTGTTGTGCAGGAACGATGGGGTTACATCTGCCCAGACATAGCCAAGGAGTTCACCAAGTACGACACTGACCCCGGCAAGTGGATGAAGAAATACGATGGAATCAACGCTATCACCAAGAAGCCTTTCTCTGCGGATGTTGGGTATGAGCGTTTCCTTGGACCTGAGGTCTTCTTCCATCCAGAGGTTGGTCCAATTCTATCTACCTCAAGGCTTAAGTCCGCTTTGAAAATTTGGTATCGAAACTTGCCTTTGAAATGAAATCAGGCTGTTTAAGTTGCAGGATAATGCTGTGCATTTTTTAATAATTTATTATTCCATTCTCTCTTTTCACACTTCCGCCATGGGCATGCAGAGCCTCGATCTGGCAACTTTACACAATAAATATAGCCGGTTCAGCGATTCCCGTGTCGGGGTTCAGATCACTGAACTGGCTATTTTTATTGTGTAAAGTTGCCAGATCGAGGCTGTGCATGCCCAATGGCGGAGCGTGAAAAGAGCGAATTATTTAGTATTCCAACTCGGATAGTCCATTTGATAGCTCACTGAATGTCCCAAAGCCACCCAGACACCCCTCTGGCTTAAACCTTGATTTACCTCCTCTAACAACAATGAAAGTAAGGCTGCTTGAGCTTCTGCTTGAACTTAATTCACCATCGATATATCAATGTTACTTGATTATTCGATATTATTTTGAAATTGATATCGCCGATAGCAACTTTTTAATCATATCGAAAATTTAGGAATGATATCGAAAATATCGAAAATGCGTCAGATTATCGTCAAAATAAATGTCCCGTTTGTGCTTTCACTTTGTGTTGAACGTTTTCTGCATAATGAAATAAAACTCGGCAGCAACTTGTGTTTGTGACTAAAAACAAACATCGCGAAATGCCAAGCGGGGTCGCCTTGTGCTCTGCGTTCGCTAGAATTCGCGGTCTCCCCGATGTAAAAGCTCAAAAGAAATGCCCGTTCTGGACAAACTCTCAGTGCTGTGATTTGTTTTATTTAGTTTGAGCAATATGCTCCAGAGAAAGTCGTGGAAAATTGGAACTTAATATTTTTTTTAGTGAAAGTGTCATCTTTATGGTCTTTAACTTTTACATGGGATAATCGATATATCAAATATTCTCGATATTGCCATCAGGACATATGCACCTGCTTCGAGATCTTTAATAATTGATCTTGTTCAATTTCTGACAGTTCTCCAACCCTGACTTCACGACTCCCATCTCAGAGACTGTGGACATTGTCATCCAGAATTGCCCCATTGATGTCAGGAGGCCTTTGTACAAGGTCAGTTATATACTAGGTTTGAACAAAAAAAGAAAAAAATTGCATTTATCTTATTTAAATTCATGAAGCCTGTCAGTTTAAAACCATAGTTTCACATTTCAGTAAAAGCAGTTCATGAACTATCAGCACAGGATTGCAAAATACTATTATTTTTGGTAAAATAACAAAAAGCCGATATCTGAATTTCATGGAGAAACTTGGCAGAATTATTTTTTCCCCGTGAAATTACTTGCACCAAAACAAAAATGGGATGAAATTGAGTCAGAGGTCATCTATCTCAAACGACAGTGCGGTTGGTAATCTATTTGTACTGAGCAAAATGTTTTGAGCTTTTTTTTTGGGTGATAATCAGAACTTCCATTTACTTGCTCCCAGATTATATCAAATCTTTTGATGGAAGTATTATGTGAATGAACTCTGTCCTCTTTTACTAGAATATTGTACTGTCCGGAGGATCTACAATGTTCCGTGACTTTGGACGCAGACTACAGAGGGATGTCAAACGAATCGTGGACGCCCGTCTGAAAATCAGTGAGGAGCTCAGTGGCGGAAGAATCAAGGTTTGTGGCTTTTCCTAAATGGATTGGCATTTGTCACTATTCAATACTGGTTATAAATTGGCTGAATCGACACGTTTGCTGCTATTCCTTTATTTTTGACAGCTGCAGCAGTGGCTGCACTTGCAGGGAAGGACTGGCAACGTTAAAAGGGAATCATAATCCAAATTCCAGTCTTGAATGAAGACCAGCAACATCCATAGAATAGCCATAAACAAAAGTGCAAGTTTCGGGTCCTAGCCTTGAACTGTGCCCAGAAGATAATCGCTTGACTAGTCTCTTATCAGCCACTTGATTGTTTTCTCCACAGCCAAAGCCCATTGAGACTCAGGTTATCAGCCATCACATGCAGCGCTACGCCGTCTGGTTTGGAGGTAGTATGCTGGCATCAACGGTAAGTTGTGACATTGGAAAAAGTAGTAGATGTTTGTGATTTGATTCATGAAACCCCTTAACCTGGTGAAAACTTGGTTATACCATTAGCACATAAAGCGCTCTCCCTAATAGATTGATTTTATGTTTTTTGTTCAACAACCTTCACATCAAAAGTTGTAGGGCGATCAAAATTAGATTATGGTAAGGCTCTGTGTGCCAACAAGAAACGGTGCTTTTGGATCACTGTTGAGAGCCTACTGGACAGGACACACCTTGTTCCCGTACTGGTTCGCATACTGGTTCACGCGTGTATAGTGCGAAGTACACACGACTAGTTTTATTCTGAATATACACAAAGCCATAGCATTTTCGCTTGAGTCCAGGGGTCAATTTCATAGAGCTGCTTAAGCACAAAATTTGCTTAAGCACAAAAACGTCTTGCTTAATAATAAAATCAGGTTACCGGCCAAAACTCCATGCGATTGTTATGCTAAGTAAACAACAGCTAAATACCAGTCATAAGCAATGTACATCACATGGAGTTTTGGCCGGTGATCTAATTTTACTAAGCAATGTTTTTTCGTGCTTAAGCAAATTTTCTGCTTAAGCAGCTCTATGAAATTGGGCCCAGCTGTCATTGTCAATGAATTTGAATGTCTCTCCCAGTGGTCTCCCCCAACTCTCCCTTTCATACTGTTGAGGGGGTACTTGTGCACGGAGCACATGGCTTTCATGTGGGAAAAACAGATGTAAAGACTATTATATAATCTCAGAATCTAGCATGTTTATTGGAAAGGTTTCTTCATGACAGGAAATCCAGGCCCTTTGAATGTCAATTTAAGTTCTGTATCCTCCGAGAGAGAACAATGAACAGGCATGCAACTGGAAATTTAGAAAAAAATGAGGAAGTTCCAAACCGCACAAGACTTTGTACAGTGTTTTTCAATTTGTAATGGCATTCATGAGCAGTAAAAAACAAGGAAATCAGCAGATCAGAAGAGAAGCTACATGTCTGAATGAAAGAACGGTGTGGAAGGAAAAATCAAGTTCTCAGAAAACCCAATCGATATATGATTTCACTCATAGTTTATATCTTCCTTTTTTCATCTTTCCACAGCCTGAATTCTACCAAGTGTGTCACACGAAGGCGGATTATGATGAACATGGCCCCAGCATTTGCCGACACAACCCTGTCTTTGGTGTGATGTCATAGACCGCCACCAACCAGCGACAGAAGAATCTTGTCTCTTAATGGGTGGGTGGTACCAGAAGGAAACCTTTTTTTTTATACAGATGGTCTAAAAGTGCAATGAATGTATGCAGCATTGCCACCGTAGGTCAGGTGTACTCTCCGACATTGAAAAGGAAAAAATAGTGGTTTTTTTGTAATCCAACAAACTTGGTTCAGGGCTTAGACTTGCAGTCAACTACTTGAAAAAAGTTTGATTTTGTTGGTGGCGGGGAAAGTTGATATCTGAGGTGTTGAAATTTTTCTTTTTTGTAAAAATTTCTGCATTAAAGGAAAAACAAACATTTTTTTTGGGGGGGGGGATCTAATTGAATAGTCATCTCTGTCTTGTTCCCCTTCAGCTGGCATATATGACTCTGAATAATGTCAGAGCACCCGACTATCCTATGAAGGTCAGCAAAGCATGGTACCACCCATTCCATACCAAACCCTTATATTTTTGAGCAACTTATTTCGAAGCCTTTCTTGACAGCAAGTGTAGATTTAGCGGATACTTTAACCCCCTCTAACAACCATCATGACGTGCAGATGTCACATATGATGGATTTATAAATTTATAAAAAATTTAGCAATTTTTTTTTTTTGTAAAATGAACAAATGCCTTTAAATAGTGAATTATTGTAATCTTTAGAAATTGAAAGAATGAAGGGAATTGTATGCAAATGATCAGATTTCTAGAGTTCATTTGCTGTTTTATTGAGTTGATAATCAGCCACAAAATTTTAAAAGATTTCTTGCGTATTGTCAAAGATTGTATTTTTGCATTAGAAAACAACAGTTCCTAATTAAATGGCGGATATAGTTATCAAAGCTGGAAATATGTACGGTATATTTAGACGTACCTAATGTGACTGTACATTAGGAATATTTTCATATCATGCATATTCATTGAATTGAATGTGCATGATTATGCAAATGATGCAGTAGTAGGCTGGCATGCAGAGTAACCCATACAGGTCTCCACAATAGCTATACACAGCTTGGGGTTTTTTGCCAGATTAAAATCTAGAGGTCAACTGCAGGTTAAAGGTCAAAGTTGAATTCACTTAGTATTTATTTTGCACTTCTGGTTTATCAATTTGCACATTGTCTTTGCTTAAACCTAATTAGGAGTGTCAGTTACCTAACTGAAAATCTGTCGTTCCCCATTTTTGTTTTCAGAAGTAAAATCTAAATGTTGAAGAGCAAGCTTGCTTGAATTTAGATCAGAAATCTTCAATATGTTTCACAATCATCACCAAAGAAAACTTTCCACCACAAAACTGGTTAGGAATAAGTTTTAAAAAGCGACTTTGATCTGGAGACCTTATTTTTAAATTAGACTTATTTTTTTTTAACTGAGTGCACCACGGATACATTGATTGGCCTCTATGGTATAACATCGAATCTATATCCTGTACTTATAGGGACTTTATTTTCTGGGACCTTTAGTAGTTGTACTTATATAAAGCTTTTCCTTAGCTTTGCATTGCAGCCGTTTGTTATACCTATTCACTGGTTCTGACATGATGCTCCAGGCAGACTTTTGCATGAGAATCAGTTACCAAAGGACCAATCACGTGGTCTTTCTAAAGAGATATAAAATATTGTGCCCTTGTTTGCAGTTTTTAAATGTTCAAATACATGATCCGTGCAACTTTCATTTCCATTAAAAATGAATCTTTCAAGAGAATTACCAAACAATCAATGATGCCACTAATTAAGCAGATCTTTTTTGTTGTAAAATGTATGTTAAAGTATAAATATTTCAATGCTGAGTTTGAAAACATGATTAGTTGGAAAGCTTTCTTTTGGGGAGTATTTAGAGCTGTATAAAATGAAATAAAACATTTAACAGGAAAAGTAATAATGTGTTTTGTTTTTCATGGTTTGTTCGAGTCCATTGATTTTCTTGCAACCTCTGATCATGTTGACTTAAGACACATACTAAGATATCCTTCCAACCCCTTCAGATGCGATGGTATTGCTCCAGGATCAGTCACTGTCACTTGTAAGGTCTTCACTGGAATAAAAAAGTCATCTTCAAGTTGTTAAAAATGTCTTTATTGCTAGTCTGAGTATCACCCTTTGTCCAGGGAGCCCTCTATGTAAACAAACGTCTGATAATAATGTGAGCATCCGAATTGTATGTGACCCCAAGCGCCAGCCTATCGGAGTCGCCTTTAGAAATTGAGACGTCATTTCGATCAAATATGTGGACTAAGCTGTTGATTGGTCAATTTGGCTGCCATGTTTTTGTAATACATCGGGTTACGGAAAACCTGATAGAAGGCGCCCGCTGAATGGTAAGAATCAACACCAATGGGACTATCTTTAGCTGGCTTCAGCTTCTTTTAAGCCCCCAAATATTCCAAGTCTGTGAGACACTTGCTGTTGCATAATTATTCGCCGAATCTGCTCACATATAGACCCTTGCTGTGCGAGTCCATAGACTAAAAAAAAATGCACGATCTAGAATTAATCTTCATTTCAACACCAATGGGTCTATCTTTAGCTGGCTTTAGCTTCTTCAGCCCCTAAAATTCAGCACTGCCTGATGTCTTAATTACCGATATATACCTTCATTCGTTGCGCACTGCTGTTTCATATTGCGGGTCAAGGCTTGGCGTTTTATTGATGGAAAAATGTAAACTAAGATGTAATAGCGAATCATGTGTTTCAAACCTTGAGCTTGAGAGAAGGACCATGGTCCGAAACGGGTCCAGCTGAGCACGCACCTCGGGCGTGCATGATTTCCGCCGACCGTCACGGAAAGTAGACAGCTTGGGTCTGCCTGGTGACTTGGGAGGCGGGGTCACCGTGGGTAGCACCGTGTTCCTCCCGGTCGTGGAGGCGGGGGAACTGGCGTTGGTCACGGCCAAAGAGGACGGTTCCTGGGCGGGTCTGTGGTTAAATAATGTTTCATAAATTGAAGCTGAGGGTTGAACTTTATGATGCTCGTGAAATAGTGATTTTCTAAAAGGCATCTGAGAAAGAGACTCAGAACTAGCATCGAAAGTTCATAATTTTATACCCTCTATCAGTTCAGGTAAAACCAGCGTCTACAGTTTAATCTTCTCTCTCAATTTTAAGCAGAACTATATCACTAGGAATGACTGACAATTTGAAATCTCCACCTGTCTTTGGTCGGCATTCTAACATCTCGAATCCCCGCCCTCTCTCTGCACAGCTTGCAGGATATGTTCCTGGGAAAAGTTCCAGCCAATGAGGACGTGCCTGACCCGCACTCCTCGCAGATGCCGTGACTTGATTGGTCGACAGACCTGTCAATCATCGGTGACGTGTCAGACAGCGAGGCGCGCACCGTCTGCTGTCGCATCGGCTTCTTGAGCATTGTGAAGGAGTCAACTAAAGTGTCTTTATTTCCCGTTAACAGATGGCGCTGTTTCCAAAGACCGCTGAGAATTGCTGGCGCGCTCGATGTTGATTTCGGCAAGCTCTGAATATTAGAATGGATATTGACGTCTTTGTTTTCTGTTTTTGGGACGACACTTCTGTGGTGACCCTTTCTGTAGTTTTGTTCCTTAGCTGCCGGATGGGTGATTTGTACAATTCTGACATACCTGAAAAAGGTAAAGGGATTTTTCATTTTAATGTCAGGAGCAAGCACGACCTCTTGTAACGCCAAGTTATCTATTAAAACAGAAGACTATATAAATCATTCATTTCGAAATATTTTACCTGTCTATTGCATTACATCTAGCAAATGATATTAGTTCGATTGTAGCTTCCAAATCAATTGCATGCCTTCAACTTCCCGCATTCACCCAAACTTGAATCTGTGTGTATATGTAAAGGCCTATATATATTCAGTACAATTCATTCATGTTTTGCAATTTTCATCGAATAAAAAAGAGAGTTAAAGCTTTGAACGCAAGTTACCCTGGAACAATGACTGGATAGGATGATAGTCCGGCTGTATTCTTTCCACTGTAAGGCATCTGAAACGGCAGACTGGTTTTGCACGGCGCTGAACTGTAGGGGTGGGCAAAATGTGAAAACGAGCAGTCCGCGTTATGATACCTAATCGTAACCTTCCCCATCATTATTTCATCATTACCAGTTTAAGTTTGCCATCGTCACCATCATAGCGATATCCCTCATCACTACCTTCAGAATAATTACCATCATCGTTATCGCAGCATAATGCTGTCAGCAGCGTTATCACGACGTTTATTTTTGAACAATAATTTATTTTGGGGGGGGGGGGCGAAAATTGGCTTCTCAGCGATGGTACATGATTTTTTTCCCCCAAAACCTACCTCACTTCTTGCTGAGCAATTTGCGCATACAGAAGGAAATCATTGGTATCCATGGAAACAACCTTTCGCAATCGTCTATGCTGTCTGATAGAAAAGTGAAGAATTGAAGATGAAACAAGTGCGAGATAGTGACGTAAACATGATGTGCAGAGGAGGAAATAATATTATGTCATTGACACATCATTTTGTTTACTTTAAGGGATTGTGTTATAGTTAAGAGCCCCATTCATATAAGAGAACGAAAAGTCACTTTTAGGTTATTGGACTCAACCAATATAGGGCCTACTGTTTAAAAGGTCATGCAATGTAATTTTTAATACAATCCTCGAAAATACACCACTGTGTCATATTTAACCTTATTTTCATTTTTTTTGCCATTATCAAGAGTATTTTTATGCTTGTTTTAATGCTAATGAGAATTTATTATCATAACTCAATGAGTTTTTTAGGTAAAGGGCTTACCTCTTCGATCGCCAAAATCCGTAGATTACCATAACCCCCGATGCCGCTGCAACAAGTGACGTAATGATGACGAAGAGCATCACAATATCATCAGCGATTTTTGTGTTAATTCTTTGGAACGCTAAACCTTCGCTGCTGGAATTCGTCCAAGTCAAAGGATGTTCGTCCCCCATCAAGGAGCTTCGCTGTTATACCAAAAACAGCTGATTGAGGAAGATAGAAATAAATTTGCAACTTTTCTTGGAAAAAAGAAGGAAAGTCTTTAAGTGATACTGGTAGGCCTACAGGAGCTATTTCATCAAGGAATTTTTAAATCAAAATGATTTATGAAAAAAAGACATGAACTAATAGTAATACAGTCTACTTAATTTTCACTTAGTGCCTGCAGAGTGGTAAACCCATGCCCCGTAACTCTATTTTTCAAATTACACAATTAGGCCCTACCTAACGTTAGCAGTGCCTTTTTATTTATAGCCTACTCGACTATTAGGCCTAATTCATACTTTGACAATTAAAAAAAAAATACATGTAGGCCCTACTTAACTTTCCGCATTTAAAATTATAATTTTGCACTCAACAGAAATAAATTTGGGGCAAAAAGTTAAAACATACCAATCTCAAGTCTTCTAAGAGTCAGAAATCGTGGTCATCTCATGTGCAATCCTGAAGTAAAACATCAAGTAAGAAGCCCTGATGAGCGTGCGTTGACTTTTTTGCGTGAGAGAACTAAAGAATTTCCATAACGCTAATCAACGCTATTGTGTAATCAACGGTGCGCACAAATCGAGCGTAAAAGAGGGCGCGCGTAAAATTAAAATCGCATTCAGTGCGCTGTGCGCAGTCGTCAGACCCTTTTATTCTATATCTATGGACCCATAATAATTATTTAGTAAAAACAAATTATCCCGTTTTTTCTTCATATTATAGATTTTTCATCCGAACGAATTTTCAAATAATTATGATATTCTTGAACGATTATTATTAGCATTTAGAGCCAATGATACCTTTATTTTAAAAAAAGAAAAGAGCTTTGCATGTTGCGCTTGTTTCATAATTCACTTTCACGCTCAAGCTGAATTTACAATTGTATAAATTATTTTGGCCCAAGTCGGCGGGTGTTCATGTTGCGCTTGATCTCTGCAGGGGTATGACACTTGTTGCACTTGGGCACGACGTTGATGATCATCGGAATTCAGGGCTGGGTGGTGATGGTGGTGTGTGTTGTGCACTGTGGATTTCAAATGAAGTCCGACTTTAGCCTCATGTCAAAGCTGAATTAATAGGGGCGTCCCGCTCCTTATGCAAAAGTTGAATTGAAAAACTTGTTATTACTTCGCGTGGACCGATCTTTCTTTCAAATGTCTTTGCCACACCCAAAAAGCACCGGCCCCTCCCTTCTAGTTTCTGTTCGCAACATGGAAAACTTGCCTTTTAAAAATAATAGTGTGATGTAAAACAAAAAGGGAACTTTCATCCATTCGGATATTCACACGCGTACCGTGCACGGTACGTTTGAAGATCTAGATATCGACATATCAACTCAAGAGAGGGCGCTAGACACATGATGAATATTCCGGGAAATTAGCATGCTAATGATCAGTTAAGTGTCGTGGATCTGTTACAGACTTTAATTTAGTCCACATTTGTTCAATGATTTTTCAACCTTCCCATTTGAGTGAGGGGTTCTCCCAATACCCAAAATGTCAGTAGACCCTCTTAGAGAATACTGAGATACATTTTGAGGGTATATTTAAATTTCGAATGGGAAAATTCCGCCGTGATCTACAACGTATCATCGCCGTGGTTTGACAGTGTACACACAAAATGGCCATTGCAAGCTGACAGACAGACCGCCATTTCCTTGTCATTTTCCCCATAAATTACTGGCCTGAGATGCGTATTGTGGACCCTTTGTTGTTCCAAAGACCCTGTAGAAGTATCGAGGATGACGACTGAACCCAAAATCACATCAATCAAAGAACTACGACCAGGAATGAAAAACCTTAACATGGTTTTTATCGTTCTCGAAATGGGTACAGTATTCCATGACGTCACTGAGCGGATGTTCCAATGAGACTTCTTCCTCCCTCTGAAAAACTTTCGGCTGCCGAATAATTGTGTTTTTAAAAGTGGGAAAACATGGGGGGAACCGAAATTAATTTTAAATGAAAATATTTATCAAGATTAAATTTACTAAAAAGAAAAACATTTAATTGAGAGCGAACTTTGATTAAGTAAGTTTATATTGTTTTCTAAATTGCTGTTAATATAACAACTTTTTCAGATGGGGGATAGAAGTTGAATTGGATATCGGCTTTTGTTATTTTTGTTTTGTAAAAATATATTGAAAGTGAAGTTATTTTATATTCTAACAAAAAAAAAATCCAAATCATGTTTGGACATCTTTTTCTTGGCTAATTGAGTTTGTGTTAAGATATTAATTTTAGTTATATGCATGTCATTTTGTTGATATTTGCAGGTACTTCATCCAAAACCAAAGACGGTCATGAGATTCGTTCATGTAAGGTTGCCGACAAATCTGGCTGCATCAATATGTCTGTGTGGGATGAGCTCGGCCGAATTATACAACCAGGCGACATGCTAAAATTAACGAAAGGGTAAAAATAATATGCTGAAATATGTCAAATAGATTCCAAATAGGTAAAATTATTGAAAAATTTAATTATTAATGGGAATTGAATAATGCAAACTAACATATGTTTGCATGATTAAAAAAAAAGTGTTTTGACATATTTTATTGTTAAATTACAATGTTAAATTTACAATTTGTTTTGTGTTGTAATTTCAGATATGCGTCCCTTTTCAGAGGTTGTCTAACATTATACACTGGAATGGGAGGAAAACTGCATAAAATAGGAGAGTAAGTAATGATGAAAAGAATTTCACTTACAATACTTGGATTAAAACAAGATCTAAGATCTTAGATCTTAACAAGGCAATGAAGCTAATTTTGAAGAAGCTTTAAAATTTTGTTGACGTAAATAATTAATGGAGAATTTTGTTTTCTCCTCTGTAGCTTTTGTATGGTATTTTCAGAAATGCCAAATATGAGTGAACCCAACGCCGAGTTCATTGCACAACAAAAAGTGGTAAATATGTATCCTTTTTCTTTAAATTTCTATTTTTCTTTGATTTTAGTTTGATCATAAAACTGCATATATTGAATGTCAAATTCTGAAATTTAAGACAAGTCTGAAATGTTTGATTTTTGTTTCTGGTATTTGAAGAGTTTGCAAGAACAGCGAAGCAACTCACCCACGGGGCCGGGGCAAGGACCCAGTGATGGTAGGCCACCAAATAATGGAGGTATGCACAGAATTTTTTTTTTCAAAATGTTTTGTTTTTATGCATTCAACTTTTTATTTGTTAATATTTGTTCTTTGTATTTTTTTTGTTACGTTAATATCAACAGGACCTAGAATGGGACCTAACGGCAACCAAAACCAGAAAAGTACTTATGATCAGCAGCCGCCGAGACCACCTACCCCTCCAATGGGCGTGAACTTCCCCCAGTCTCACCCCAATCGTGGTGGAATGAGCCAAGGAGGCCCAAAGAATGGCATGGGACCGGGCTTTTCCACTGATCACAGAGGGGGGAGGGGAAGAAGAGGAAGATAACATTAGTTCAATGTATATGCATACTTCTTTCTTTGGGTATATTATGAACAAATATTTTGTTGAGACAAAAAGGATGAATTTGTTCTTTTCAGTTTTGGCTGAAATAAAGTAATGTTTCTATATCTTTGAACTACACTTGGCAAACTCAACCAAAAAAAAAGAAAGAAAGGATTTTTACCACTTTGGTGAAGTATAGTGGATTTTCAATGAACTATTGCAGATTTTTCTGAATACATTTGTAAAAGCTGACATACACTTTGAATGGTCAAAATAAATGTATTTCTTTGAATGAAATCATGGTATTATAAATTGAAGTAGGTATTGTGATGTACTTGTTTTGCCAACACAATTGTACTAACATGATACACTAGGTTGACTGTCTGCCCTTGCAAATTAATGGTTACAGGTTAGATTCCAGCCAGAGTTGCAGTTCCCACAGTTCCCAGTGTTATTTAAGTTGTGGGTGTACTAGTTTGCTGTCGACATTTGTTAAACAAGAAAATAATTTTTCAGTCTAAACTACATCAGTCCACATGTAGTATTTGAGTTCATGGGAATGGAATTGAGTAATGTATGAATTTGTGAACGTTAACTTCAATGTGCACTCTCTATCGTCGGAAAAGCCATTTGGTTCATTCAAAATTCCTGTTATTGAAATTAACTGGTTCCCATGCAGTAGTGTGGCATATCCTGTGCTGTATTTAGTTGGTTACCTTGATAAATAATGATAGTTCCTTTGCTAAGACTGCACTTCCACCTACAATTTCCTGTAGGTTTATCATACAATGTTTCCACCATGGAAATGTGCGTGCCCTGCAGATGTGTACTAAATGTGTTAGTCTTTTGACTGTTTTCTTTGTACATGTACTTGACTTTCTCCATGGCACAACCTAGTAGTTACTGTTAATACTGTGTATATACATGTACATGAACGTGCAAGGGATTTGACTGAAAATAAATGTCATGTTGAAATAACACTTCATTGTGTGACAGTCGCTTTTATTGAAATTGTTGTCTTAAACAGGGAATGGCTTGTGTTATAAGTAATTTTTGAAAAGTGTATAACCAATATTTGTCAGTGCACAAGACTTTTGAAATTGTTTTGTTTTAATTTTACTCATTTTGGCAGTTATTGGCTCATAATGGGCTGATTCGTTGTTTAAATTTGTGATTTTTGAGCTGGTTGATAAAAAGTAAATTTCTGATGGAGAGGAAATTGTCTTGTGCTAATGTGACGTGCTTAACCAGCAATGCTGTTTATTTTCCAAAGGGGCAAATATGATCATTATTTAGAAATATTAACATGTATCGGCCGTCGAAAATTTCAAACTAGTTCCCTGTTCATTTCTTATTCTTTGCACGATAACATGGAACGGCGCCTCCCTAGTTCATGTAGTTAGCGCGCATTGCGCCACCACACGTTTAACTCGCAGTCGCCAGCTTTCCTCAGAAACCGGCCGTACGGAACTTTAGATACTTGATTTTGTGACGAAAATGCCGCCCAAAAAAACTTCCGCACCAAGTAAGAAAACAGTAGAGAAGAAGAAAGACAAGATAATAGAGGTGAGAATTTATTCAAGTTGCTGTTTTGAATTGAAAACACTCATTTTGTGTATCACATTTTTGCATGTCGATGTCGAGAATTTCAATGTGATGTCACGTCATGCACGTCGACCGCGCGGCAAGTCATGTCGCTTTTTGCAAAAATATTGATGTTCACATGTGTTGCACAATCAGTTGATATGGGCGATCGGGAAAGAAGTCCATACATGGACATCACTCATTTTTCCCTGCAGTGACCTGTCAGCCATCAGAAAGTGATAAAAGTCAGATTTAGCGGAGAAAACTTAATAATATTGAAGCGCTGAGAAAACACTTGGAATTTCAGACCAGTCTCAGTCTAGCCCTAGTCCGACAATGTCCGAGTAACTTGGACCCAACTTATCGCCTTTTTTTAACATTTGGACATGGTCTGGCGATAGTAAGGTCCAAGCTAATACCGCGACCTAGACAACACAGTCCCAAAAACCAACATTTTCCAACAAAAAACATAAGATTTCACCTTCAAAACGGCCTCCAAATTACTAGATATGCCACCTGAGGTACAAGTAGACATCGATAATTAAGATGGTTGTACTGAAGTGTACTTACGATCCGGAAAAAAGTGAAATTTTCCGTTCATTTCGGAGAGCTCCCCTCGCGATCTTGAACACGTTAAATTTCCGATCGTGTTTAATGTTTGAACGACGCGATTTCTTCTACATGCCCAGCGTACATTCGGTGGTCCCCGTATCCCGAGTGCGATTCCGTTACCGAGCGCGCGCGATGCATCGATTATGATAATGAGTAGACTGGATCACGTTTGTAAACACATGTGCATTTCAAACGATAATAGGGAGTCGGGAACTAGCGCAGCTTTTATGGCGGGTACCAGTTCAAGCTGGTTCCCGATTCCCTTTTACAGTTCGAAATGCACATGTATGTGTTTACAAACGTGACTCATTATCATAATCGATGCATCGCGCGCGCTCGGTAACGGAATCGCACACGGGATACGGGGACCATCGAATGTACGCTGGGCATGTAGAAGAAATCGCGTCGTTCAAACATTAAACACGATCGGAAATTTAACGTGTTCAAGATCGCGAGGGGAGCTCTCCGAAATGAACGGAAAATTTCACTTTTTTCCGGATCGTAAGTAAACTTCAGTACAAGTACAACCATCTTAATTATCGATGTCTACTTGTACCTCAGGTGGCATATCTAGTAATTTGGAGGCCGTTTTGAAGGTGAAATCTGATGTTTTTTGTTGGAAAATGTTGGTTTTTGGGACTGTGTTGTCCAGGTCACGGTATTAGCTTGGACCTTACTATCGCCAGACCATGTCCAAATGTTAAAAAAGGCGATAAGTTGGGTCCAAGTTACTCGGACTAGTCTAGCCCCATAAATGTGGCCAATTTACTGGACTGCCTCCGTAAACATAGGCCACACATCCACATGTACAAAAACGTGTTGACTTTGCCAAATTTTGATTTTCACATTTAGGCTTACTTTGTAGGTTTTTTTTGCTTTAGAAGCATTCTCACCCTCTATATAGGCTAATCAGAAAGTGCTGCCTTTTTCAGATGTCTAATTTTTGTGAAATTTCATGTTGAAATTTTGATACGCAAACGTGTGCAAATGTATCTGGAAATTTCACGAAAAATGGACATCTGAAAAAGGCAGCACTTTCTGATTAGCCTATATAGAGGGTGAGAATGCTTCTAAAGCAAAAAAAACCTACAAAGTAAGTCTAAATGTGAAAATCAAAATTTGGCAAAGTCGACACGTTTTTGTACATGTGGATGTGTGGCCTATGTTTACGGAGGCAGTCCAGTAAATAGGCCACATTTATGGGGCTAGTCTCAGTCATACTGGACTGGTTTGTGCACAGGGTGTCAAGTGATGTCCAGGTATGGAACTCTTTCCCGCGATTTTGTAGTGTAGGAGTAGGACCCCTTTTTAGCTTTGATAGAGTCAAGGGTGTTTTTTATCATTCCAAAATGACGGAAAGAATGTAGTAATTTGCCACTTCAGCGGTTGTGTACAAAGTCTATGGAGAGTCAAGAAAATTATCTAAGTATTTCCTAACAAAATTGGACATGTTTCTCAGACCCAGATTCATGTCTTGTCAATATTTTTGCAATGACTGACCTTGATTGAGATGATATATTAAGAAAAAAGTGGTGTCGGGTTGCAACATTCTTTCCAAAATGACTTTTTCATTGTCAACCTAGTACCATGGAGGAAGGAATTAACAAGTCCAGGTAGACTTCTCTGAATTTTAAGATATTTTTAGTGGATATTTATTTGGCCGGCGCCGGCTTTCTTTTACGACGTTTACTAGAATTTAGTAAATGATGTTAAGCTGGCACACCGTACAGCGCCCTCTATGACGCGTACATATACGAGAAGGCCTACATTATAAGGTATTAAATAACGGAAAGAATGTAGTTATCCAGACGCCACTTCAGTGGTTGTGTACAAAGTCAATGAACAGTCAAGAACATTTTCTAAAGTATTAAGTATTTCCTACCAAAATTGGACATGTTTCTCAGACCCAGATTCATGTCTTTTCAACAGTTTTGCAATGACTGACCTTTATTGAGATGGTATATGAAGAAAAAGGTGTCAGGTTGCAACTTTCTTGCCTAAATTACCACCATCATTCAAGAAGCATGTGTAGATAGCGCACCGAGTGCGCCTGACTCGTAATAGACTTTAGTCAAGGTGCGCATGGCTACTCGGATGCGTGGCGCCCCGGATACTGGCACGAAAAAAGACCAGTGCAAGTGGGGAAGCCACAAGTGCCTTTACTATCTCGTGGAGAACTCTTGTTTTTCTTTACATTTATCTACCGATTTGGTAGAGAAATTTGTATGCATAATGAATTACGTGTTGTGAATATTGACTAAAATGAGTGCACGTCTTGTTTTTAAGAACGCGTGCGCGCAAACGGGCACGCATGGCATCACCTCGAAAATGGCTTGTTCATGGTGATTGGTTTAAATATATCTGCATACATGTATATATACATGATTCATATTGCTTGAACAAATGAGTGATTAGCTCCACGAGTAAGTAAAGGCGCTCGTGGCTTCGCCACTCACACTGGTCTTTTTTTGTGCCAGAATCTTGGGCGCCACACGTCCAGGTAGCCTCGTGCGCCTTGACTAAAGGCTAGACTCGTAGCCTAAGTGAAAGATGCCGGGTTGGAGCCGCTGTCACGCCCATGAGAAAATATAAAAGATGGTGATCACTGTGATGCACAGTGTGGGCACAGTGAGTATGCAAAACCGCATTGATTTGCATGGCATCAACTGAGAAATACAGAAGAAAAGTGCATTTTCTACCCAGAAATTCTTTTCAAAAATACAAAAAAAATTGGATTAGAATTGTGAGTGTCAAATATAAACTAATGCATAGTTGAAATATTTCTTATATCATGATCTCTTTTGAAGACAAGTTTCCTCTTCATGTTTTCTTTGTTATTTTTCAGGATAAGACATTTGGTCTGAAGAACAAGAAGGGTACCAAGACACAACAGTACATCAAGACAGTCACCAGCCAGGTCAAATATGGCAATCAGAAGGCCAAGGTAATCCCCCTTGCACTGCCTCCCTCTCTGCCCCCTCTCTGCCCCCTCTCTGCCCTCTCCCACTTTAATATTCAAACCTAAAGCCATACTGGATCATTTGCATTTTTCTTAATTTCATGAAGTGTATTGATTTAAGGGCATTAATTTATAGCAGACATCGTTCCACTGAGCTGTTCAATGTTTTGTGTCCATTGGTGCTGGAAAAACACAGAGAAAAAAGCTGTTAATTTTCAACTGTCAAAGTGCAGCTCACAGAATCTCTTATGCATAGAACCCATAGGTCACAGGGAGTCCCCGAGTGCCAGCTCTGTCGTGGGAAAGTAACATACATATACCTACAGGTCCTAACCATCGTTAGTACTGGTACGTACACAATTTCTCTTTTCTTGAGAATGACAACAAACCAGGCTCAATGATTTCACAGGATGTTTCATACGAGTATTTACTTGCAATCAAGGGGGCTATTTCAAAGTTTTGGCAGTTTTATTTTTGAGTGTTTGCAAATGATCCTATATGCCTTTAACCCTAACCTACCCAGTACAACAACATGTTACTCTTGCCAAAGTGAGAAGCCTGTCCAGCGCAATAAAGTACAACAGCTTAAATAAAAAAAAAATAGTCAAACTGCCTCAGAATCCGTGGTTGTCAACTGTAATAGGGGAGTCAGGTTGACTCTGTGGTTACTGTCCTCGCCTTCCACCGCTGTGGCCCGGGTTCGATTCCTGTCCTGGTCCACATGTGGATTGGGTTTTCAATCCCTACCTAATTCCATGGTTTTTTTCCCCAGAATATTCCTCTGGGGTTTTCCTTCCACCTCTAAAACTGTAATTTCTTCACATTATCTTCTCTCAATAAGGTTTCTTCAGGCTTGCCAGCTACAGTGCTTAGGGCACTTTTGAGGAATCCTTGGTTTCATAACCAGAAAGAAAGAAATAAAACAGGATACAACAATGTTATTGTTCAATGGGACTAGCTCTCATTGTCTCTGAACTGGCAGTTTATGCCCACATGTTGATGGCCCAATGCAGCAGGGTCCCACAGACGTTCACACCTGTTGCAATTAATTGCATCCAGCAAGGTTAAACTTGAAAACATGAAGCTGTTGGAACAGTGATGTTTTTACCTCATCTGTAAACTCCCACATGTTTTCCTTTCTTGATAGACCAAGGAGCAACAAGAGCAACTTGATAAAAAGACAAAGAAGAAACAGGAACAAGATGAGATTAACATGCTCTTCAAGCCCGTCACTGCCCAACAGAAAATTGCAAAGGGTGGGTACTAATGGCTCTTTATATCTCAGAAAGATTCAAATAATGTGCCATTACCAAGGCCTACTCTACAAGTAGTTTGCCACTTTTGAAATTTGGAAACAGGAGAGGAGATGTATGAAATGTTTTGGTGAACAGGGAACAGGGCTATACAAAAACCTATTTCAAGCTTGCCAAACAAAATGTATTTTTGGAGTAGAGCAAATTACAATGTAGAGCAATGAAGTGCGGTGCTGATGGATTACTTGGATCCTGATGTTATCATTGTGCCTCATTCAACAGGCGTGGACCCCAAGTCTGTCGTGTGTGCATTCTTCAAGCAGGGCACATGCACCAAGGGAGACAAGTGTAAGTTTTCCCATGACTTGGCCGTGGAGAGGAAGGCAGCCAAGAGGAACTTGTATGAAGACACTAGGGAAGAGGAGCTGGCCAACGGTACGTAGCTTGATAGACTGGATTCTTGACGTGTGACCATTGGAGAGTAAAAACGTGGAAAGTCACTCTCAGACAGAGAAGGTCACTCTCTGGGAACATTATGTAAAGTCTATTCCAAGCCAAACTGGCTCATCAGGCCAGTGTGTAACTGTGGTTTCCATGGAATGAAATGATGGCGAATATTTTTATTCCCCCCGAGGGGTGAAGTCCATCACAGGAACCTACATATCGTCCTGGGTAGATAGAGGCAACCTGAGGTAAAGTGGCTTGCCCAAGGACACAGCATATGTCCAGCAGCTGAATTTGAACCCCTCACCCTCAAATCACAAACCCTAACCACTGGGCAAATCGTCCAATATGTAGAAAAACAGTGCATTCTTTGAACTGTTTTTTACTGGACACCACGCCAATGTAAGGTTCTATTGACTTGGCTCTACATTCATATTACCCTGCATTCCTCCAAAACTTTTCTGTGAATTTTGAAGTAGCTTTGATAACAGTGCATGCCAACCATTTACATGTCTGTATGAAGCTTTCACTTCTGTGCAGGTTCCTGCCTCTCCATTTCAAGTCTAGACTACAATGAAGGGACCAGGAACCAGCCTACTCTGCTCTTGATTTTAGGCAGAATCGTTCCTTCCTTGGTATACATGCACATAGACTGTGCACATCACTTACCCTCACCGCTAGGTTGCACGATGCCCTTTATAGTTGATGCTCAGAGTTAATACTAAATAGGATACTTAAACTAGACATGAGACCATAACAAGATAGTGGTCAAGACAGATGGTAAAGGGATTTAACCACAGGTTGAAGTGGCTGATTTTCTTTGATATGTCTTTTCCTTTTTCCTTTGTAGACACAATGGAAAGCTGGGATGAGGCGAAACTAAAGACAGTTGTGGAACAGAAACATCAAGAAGAAAACTCCCAGAAACCTAAGACAGACAAGGTCAGAGTTCAACCACTAGGTCACAGGTCACAAAGGAAGAGTTAGGAGTGACCACTGGGAGAGACATTCGAACGTATTGCCGATGACGGCCGATGCTATTTATTACTTCTTTATACTGGTTTTACAGTTTGTACAGGCCTGAAAAGATAACTCAACATTTCAAGCAGTATGTTCTGTCCATCAAACACTTTTGATCCCTGGCTGTGCTCAATCGTCATATATGGGCCATGTATGGCTGGCTGCCTAAGGTGCCTTTACATGCCTGCGGCTCCACCATGTTGCGGCCGCGCCCTTTGCAGTTCAGCTTCTCAGCTGCGAGTGAAGATGAGTAGCCTTCGAAATGATTATTATCTCCATGAGACTGCACGCTGTTCAAAGCATTGACAGAAAGAGTTTTGAGTACATGATGCTGCTACACACTTTATACATATCAAGTCTCCATCATGTAAACAGTGGAACAGCTTTCTGTTGATGCTTACATATTGCTGAAAGCCGCCATTCAACATTGGTGTCTTAATTTATACTGTGGTAAAACCTGCTTCTCACAAGTGACTTCAGCCAATCAGATTAAGAGAATGGCACAAAGAAACCACTGAAATCACAGGAACTATGAAGCTTCCACTTTCACCAGTTCACATTGGGAAAGAAAAGAGGTCAATTAATGCTGCTGCTTAATAGTTAGCAGAAAAGTTGTGCTAACTATAGCAGAACATTGTACGAAACTTAGGCACTATTTCATAGCATACATGTGCCGATGGTTGTATATGCATAGACAAATTCTATTTTGTTATCTCTTAATTTAAGTGAATGTTTCCTTTGATCTAGCATGCCTTTTACTGTGCTTACTGCTCACGATCTCCGTGAAATAGACAAAGAATTAGTAAGCAGAAAATTGTGTACTTAGCAAATGTCATGACATGAGCTCAACCACACGGGAAAATTAAAATCCTACTTTTTTTTCGCTGTAGGTGTGCAAATACTTCATCCAAGCCATTGAAGATTGCAAGTACGGATGGTTCTGGGTGTGTCCTAATGGCGGCGACAAATGCATGTACCGCCACGCCCTGCCACCTGGGTTTGTCTTGAAGAGTCAGAAGAAGAAGCAAGATGAGGAGCAACCGGATCAGAGGATTACGATAGAAGAACTCATTGAGGAAGAGGTACATTGTCTTGGGGGTTTACAAATTTTGGAATCTCAAATCTCGAGTCTGAAGTCTCAGATCTTGAATCTGAAATCTCAAATCTCAAAAGTCTTCTCAATGGTCATTGCTCAAAGCTTCAAGGTGTACGTCTCAACTGTTAAATCTCAAGTCTCAAGTCCAATGTCTTAAGTCTCAAGTTCCAAATCTTTGGTCTCATGTTTGAGACTTAGGTTCTATTTCTCTGTCTCACATTCCATGTCTCAAACTTAGAGTTGTAAGACATGGTTGCAATTAACAGATTTAAACATGATCAGAGAAATGTCTAACATCACCTGGGTCTCCGCCAGTCTTAAGAAGGAAAGGGAAGTGATTGTCGATTAAAGTATGCAACATCAAATTTGAGATTTCATTTATTTTCATTCCTTATCTTGTGTTCCGTTGCCTTGATCCAGAGGGCAAAGTTAGGATTACAGCAAACCAAGATAACCCTGGAGACGTTCCTAGAGTGGAAGAAGAAGAAACTGACTGAGAAGAAAGCCCTCTTGGATAGTCAGACGAACAAGAAGAAGAACGATTTCAAACAGGGCAAGAGTCTAGGGGTGAGTCGCACTTGCCAAGATGGAGCTTGTACAAGGAAGATCAGGCCAGATCATTGTCAGTTCTCATTAACCTTAACTCCCTGAGCTCTCTTGCCCAGAAGCAGCCTGAATCCTCAAATATCCTCCAATTGTGAAGAATTCAAAATTCTAAGCACATGAATCCTTCAAAATCATCCACTTTTTGTCGCTGGAGGCCTCTGCCTGGATCTTTCAAGCTCCTCCACTGGGTTGCTGGCATGTTATCACATAATCAGGTTTCAATGCTCTGATGAGTTCATTAGCCTGTGTAACTTATTGAAATCCTTTTTTTGTTATCCTGTATTGTGGATCAGCAATGCCCAGGACCTAAATAGTTGGAGTAAAGAGGCTGTACAATAAACAGCTGGATGCCTGCCCAAGTATACATTGCATAAAGCAAGTAACAGCCTGAATCCCCCAAAATCATTTTTTTGAAGAGGACTTTTAAGAAGATAATGTAAATGTCGGTTTTGTTATTTCAGATCACGGGTCGTGAGCTCTTTGCCTTCAATCCAGACCTGATTGGGGATGATGATGATGAAGCAGCAGACGACATACAATACAAACGAGATAGTGACGATGAAGGGGTATGTCAAAGCCTGTGATTTCCTGTTCTTTCCACCTGTTGTTGCCATGGTTACCCAGTAACCATGGCAATCAGTGATTGACGGGCAGGATATTAGCTCTTTCTGGTGATTAGTTTCCTCATCGATTCAGAAATGAGGAAGACTAATTCATATTTTCTTTTGTAGTAAACACGTTTGCTTGATATATTCTGTGCTTGAGAGTCACATTTGGCAGGTACAAAATTGGGTTTAACTTTTCATCCACATAATTGAGCCAAAAATAACCGTAATATTTTTGCTGAATAATCAGAAAATGTAAAAATTTTTACCTAAATTCCAAATAAATTATTTGGCTTCAAAAGTAAGGTCCTTAAAAAAGGTTTCCTACCCTCCTTCCCCCCCCCCAGCAAAAAATCTTTAGTTTAGTTTGGTACTAATTATTTGGAAATAATTTGTGGTTACACAATGTAAAAAGTTTTGAAGAGAAACAGTGGTTGCCAGAAAGTTTCGACTGGTATACTTTTCAGTCGCCGTTTTTCAATGTTGACTGAAATACAACGTTCAAAAGATTTTTAAAAGAATGATAATTTTATCGATATCCTGAAATTATGATACTTCAGCTTGCAAAGCAAGTAATTTCTGATCTATTGCAACCTTCAGGATGCAGTGGCTGTGAAAGACGTCAGGCTAGAATCTATCAAGGCCACGGAAGTAGACGGAACAGGGACAGTGTCAACGAGTAACAAGAGAGAAGGAGAGACGAGTACGGTCGCCGAGACTTCACTGCCCGGAACCAGACTACAGGACAAACAACAAGAAGGTACTGTTGATGTAATATTGGGTTTGCCGTTCTCAGATGGAATTTCATAAACATACTCTGTGTTGCCAGAGGGCTTCAGAGAATAACTCACAAGCTTACCACTAAACCACCGAGCTTGCCGGGGTTGGATTGGCTGGAACCGCAACCAATCACTTTGCGGAATCCAGAGGTCGCAGGTTCAAATCAGCTCCAGTCATATTCTTGATTCAACCTTGAAAAATTAATATAATGCACCTATTCAGTTTCAATTTGTGGCTTATTTGAATATTTGTAAATAAAACTGTATCCTCGCTTAGAGATCCCAGTTTGCTATTTCCCAGGTTTGCAGCATTGCTAATGTTGCTAGTGTTGTGACTTTGGGCGTGATCCCTCAATATATTGTATATACGGGTTTATGGCTTCTGATTAGCACCCCTTGAACAAAGACATTGACAAAATGGGGAACCACCAACATAGGGCTGGATAGCTCAGTTGGTAGAGCACCGGAACAGCAGTCCAGAGGTCACAGGTTCAAACCCAACTCCAGTAAATTTCTTCAAACTTTAGAAACGACTTTTTGGAATCGTTAGAAGTGCTTGTCTGACATTACTTATTCAGCTAGCAGTTACCATGCCATGCTATTAAAAACAAGTGTCTTAATTAACATTCCTCCAAATATATAAAATTTGCTTTCTCGTCAAGTATTTGCGGTTTTTCAAATTGTTCTTAGCCTCAAAGTGAAGCATTTAGTAGAGATAGAATTGTTTATAGCATGGATTCAAACAACTAGAGACTGAAGATGAATGTTCCTATCATTCCTTAGATGAAGACAGTAAACTTGACCAAGCTGCAGCCCTTCCTCCAGATGAGACATCGGAAGCAGAAGAACCAGCAGGTGCAGCCGCTGCCATTGTCAATGGAGTCCCAGTCGATGAGAATCTCTTTCTAGAAGACGTGGAGGTTGATGAAGACCTCTTTGATCAAGATCTAGACCTGGAGGAGGAACTGGACGACCTGGAACTGAAAGATTGAGGTAGCTTGTGACACTCCAAGACCAACAATGATTCAAATCGCTTCCATTCCCCACTCTGCTCTCTCACCCCCCCATACAAATGGGCTAAAATAATGCTAAAATGGGCAGAACAAATTTAATTTTCCAACAAAGTTGTGTTGAACCACACAATATTTGATATGTGGGGCGTTCTGGCAAACTGAGGTGGAACTGGGCACAGACCGTAGTGGAGAAAAACGCAAAGCATTGAACCAGTTTTGTTTTTAGATTTATTGATATTTGTAATCTTTGGTATGTCGTGAAAAATCATGGCTTAAAAGTGTTTTTTAAGGAAAAACAATTGCCATTTTTCATTTTCACGAATACAAAACTTGAAACTTCAAAGGCCCTTTTCTCAGTATTTTGCTTTTTTGACATGTCAATAAATGTGAACTTTGAACAGCAATAACTTTTCAATGGAATGTCCGATTGAAGTGCAACAAACAGTATTGCAAGGAGAATTGTATTCTTTCCTAATACACACAAACCTTTTCGGCCTCTACCCTGTTCTGTCTCATTTTGCCAGAATGCCCAACATATAACATTTGGACTGCAACCCACGAATGTGCTGCCCATATCCGGCCCTTGCATCTCTTGATTGACCGTGTGTGTGTGCATGCATTTACAGAACACACTTTTGCAATTTATTTCTGTAATATCTTGGAGTGTCACAATGTGTAAATCCCGAAAAATATATTGTAATATTTTTCCTCGGAGTGAGGAAATGGTTTGCAAGCTATTAATAAATATGTGTATTTGTTAAAATAAGTCAGGATTTGGGGGTTCTGTAGCAGTTGCAAGGGATGCCCTTTGGAAAAAGCACAGATCTATTGAAATAATACGTTTATCTGGCTGAACTTTTGCTAATTATCTGAACTTCTTTTTGTTCTTAAACCACAAAATATCCCTGGCAAATTGAATATTAGTTTGTCGGTTGCCTGCAATCTAGTCCTTACCAGAGCAACTGAATAAAAAAATGCAACAGTTAAAAAATAATCCCTCCTGAGTAAAGTGGCAATTGTGTGAATGCTTTGTCCTTTAGAAAACAGTGGGAAAAATATAATGATCAAATCTTTTGGCAGATTTTGGCTTTGGTCACAAATTAATTTTCTTTATTTATTTTGGCAAAGTTGTGTTGTAGGAATTTCACAATACAAGGGCATTTTGGCGATATATTATTTGATTAATTTCTTTGTGAATTAAGTTTTACATTTTGTTTTCCAGACTACTCCTTTTTTTTCTCCATGTCTTATTTAAAACTTTTGTCCTATCCCAGATTTCCATAAGACAGAAATAGGGAATTTTAAGAGATCATTTTGTCAAAATTATTGGAACTTATTAGCATGGGCTGCTCAAACTCGTGTATATGTATACCCATTTAATACCTTGTACATACAAATAAACTTCAGTTCTGTGAATTGATGCAGTTTATGTTGTTTTTATGTTGTGTTTCCTTGATTTGTTGATTTGAATTCACTCTATATATGCATTATGGCGGAGTTAGAGGGCCGTGGTTTGTATTGCAAGGAAATATTGGCTCGCAGCACGAAGGGTTGGAGGGAAAGGGTATCAGGCAGAATTTGGTACTGAGATGACCAAAAATGCACTTCCTTGTAGGGACAGAACCAGGCCATTGTGAGAAGTCAAGCTCTCAATAACTCACCTCAGAAATTTGTGGATGAAATTCAACCAGTTTGACTGAACAGATCCCATGGTTAAATGAGGTAAGTACATGTACATGTATATTGCAAAATTGGTGAGCAGTTTAGGTTCTTGTCAAATTTACTGTCGGGGATGGGGACGGCAACAAATAAAATACATAATTGTCTGGACGTCTCTTAAAAGAAATGTGTGAAGTAAATCTGAACATTGCTGGTACAGGGAGAGGGAGTGACATTTATGTTGTACTGGCATTTAATACAAAGTTTAAATACTGAATGCAATACTTAGCAAGATCAAGAAGTTCATATTCATCAACAAAAAAGCAAAGGAGAATGCAGGATTTCATTATGAAAATAATGTTTATTTTGTTATTTTCAGAAGGCAAAGTGGACATGATATCCCAACATGCATATATAATTCTTAAGTATTCTTGCCCCCAAGTTATGAATAAAAATAGTTTAAATTACACTCATTAAGATAACCCACGAATGACTGAATATCCTACATGATTAAACAAACACAAACAAAAAATGGACAAATTAAAAATTTGCTTATGCCGTACCCAATAATACATCAATGTATGAAATGCCTATATAATTGAAAAAGTAAACCATAAGGCCAAAAAAAAAAAGTGTTCGGTTTCTGGTATGGAGCTTGCCCAAAAAGTGGTGCGGCAACGCGGCTTTTTTTTGTTTTTAACCTGATTTTTTTGCTTCAAATGTCGGCTGATGACTGCAAATGGTGCCCGACTAAACTTAGTGCAAACATATGGGAGTCCAGAGAGGCCACATAAAGCTTATTCTCGACCATAACCCAATCTAAAAACACGTTAAAATTGTGCAGCAGCAGGATTCCAGTCAAACCAGTGAGTTTGGCGGTTTTGAGACATCATCTTTCTTTTTGCCAACGCGCATGGCTACGGCGACGGGCGCACATACCAGAAACCGGAGACTTTTTTTTTTTGGCCTAAACTAGTTCTCGTTGAATTTCAAATTCGACCGAACTATTCATTAAAAAAAACCGAACTGATGCCTTCAATGAGTTACTATCAAAAGCATTTTAAGATGATGGCCTTTTCAAAAACGAATCATTGTTAAATACACCACAGAACATTGTAAAAATATTTCCCCTTCTTTCTAGCCTATTGCTTTTTATGTCGATTTATACAAACTTTAGCGGTTGTGTACAAATTCTATGGAGAGTCAAGGAAATTTTCTATTTTGTAACAAAATTGGAAATGTTTCTCAGTTCCAGATTCATGTCTTATCATCATTTTTGCAATGACTGACCTTCATTGAGATGATATATGAAAAAAAAGTGACGTCAGGTTGCAACATTTTTTCCAAACTTAATTCCATGTTCATCTACCCTTCGAGCATTACAAGACCTATTTATTACTGAAACATAAATTTAAATACATCCTTCAAAAACCAAAAAAGAAAAGGAAAAAAAAAATACGAATAAAAAATGATACCGAGCCAGGTGGTCAAGTAAAAAAATTCAATCATTGTAAATCCAAAACAAATTCTTTGAAAAAAAACTTATAAAATAGAATTTCCTAGTCAGAAGAAATCAGGGGGTATCCCTGCAGTACTGATACAAATTGTCAAATAAGGTCATTTGTCGCATATATTTTTCAAATCCATAATCAAGACTCGTCAGTTAATCAAATTCTGAAGTTTAGTAATCAAATTCTGGAGTTTACTTTAGGGATGAAACATTTTGTTAAATAAGAATTCATAAAAAAATATTTCGGATGTAAACGAACAGACCATTTCATGTGTATAATATAACAGTAAGGTGCAAAAAATATGAATGTTATTAAGTTAAAAAATGCCATGCACTTGAAGGGATGTAGAAATGTCAAATACTAAAAATAACAAATTTCATGCAATTTTTGCTGGAAAGACAATATTTATTTGTACATGATACCACAGGAGCAGTATGGAGCTAAAAATTACAACGTAAACATGAGGAAAATGTCTCTTCAGGAATGCATTGCATACGAATGCTCCTTCCAAGTTATCTTATCCGTAAATGAAAATACTACAACTTCAGATCACAAGAAACTTTTACACCAAACTTTTGGAAAAATCTTGACAGCTTTCCCACTATTCCGATTTCAACAATCATGAGAAACATTTAATCAATATATTGAGATATCCACACATGATGACTACACTGAGTATGCATATGATCCTTTGAGAACACACAGGGTTAGGGTGAGGGTGGGGATTAGGGCGAGACATAGGGTGAGATACAGGGTGAGACATAGGGTGAGATACAGGGTGAGACACAGGGTGAGATACAGGGTGTCAGGGGAAGTGTTGGAATAGGATGGGAATTATATTGGCCGTTACATCTTCACAAGGTATTACCCCTGTTCAACTACATCACTCTTGCCACGAATATGAAACCAAATTTTTCTTGTAATCCACAGCGGTTGCAAGCAGTGTACATATTAACATATAACTTATGAACACACCCTGTATTTTACACTAAAAGATCGAGATTCGTATCCGAAAGGCAATGGGCTGTTGTTCTATTTCCCGGTGGTTGGAGGTCAAAGTTCGTCTTTTATGTTTTTGCTCTGTAGAGAGAGAGAGAGAGAGTACATAAAATGATATGAGGAAAAAATTCTAAGCTTCGAAATAAAAAAAGATGAAAAAATTATAAGCTTTGAAATAAAAATAATATGAGGAAAAAATTATAAGCTTCGAAACTCCACAACGGAAATAATTAGCTAGGAGCGTCACAACTTTTAACAAAATGATTGTTAACATCAGACTGTAACAGTTCTTTTATATATTTGTTTCAATGTGAATAGAATTTTGCATTAGAAGGGCTGAGTCATTGTTAGGGGGAAAAAACACAAGAATAAAATTGTTTTGTGGAGTGAAGCAAAGCTTAAATAGAGTAATTAAAGCTATATACAAACTTCATGGCATTCTAGATAAGCTTCAATGAAGTTTTCAATCTCTCACGTCAGGATATTGGCAAAATCTACATGTCGGTGATTTATTCATATACTTACATTGCTTGCCCTCTGAGTGAATCGCTTTTTAAGGAGTGGTATTAAATTGCTTGCAGTTTTATCCACTTGCTCACCAAACCAATTCTGCAAACAAAAAGAGAACATTTTGAAGAAATAATTGTGTTTTTGTCTGCTTGAAAATCTAAGACTTGACAGGAATTTCAGAACCTTGAAGAATACTGATCGATATCTGGAAAGAGTATCTTTCAAAGAAGAAAGATGAACATACAGATAATACAAATCTCAAAGGAACAATAAGGCAGTAGGCTCCGTTTATAATTTCAAAAATCCATGTTTTTACATCCAGGTTTTTAACAGGCAAAATATAACGCTTGTTACAGCAGTTACACCTATGAATCACATCTTTTGGAAATTTCCTACAACTTTGAAAAATAACAAAAAGCACTGAATTTTTAAACATGATGCATTTCTTCTTAAATAAAATTAAGAAATCACAAAACGAATGACATACCTGTGAATGGCCGACTTTGTGTGTGCCTTTATAAAGTCGAACAGAGGGAAAGAAATTAATGCTGGCCTGTTGACATATATTCTGGTTTTGCGTACAGTCCAACTTGCCTGCACGGACGTAGCCTTCAACACCCTAAAAGGAAAACAAAAACAAACAAAAATCCAAATTGAAAATGGGATGAATATCTGTGATTATAAAGATAACTTTGCACTACTATTAAACAGAGCAAATAAAGCGGTGCAAAATAGACTTGTAAAAGGCAATATTTTTTAATCGATATTGATCTTCGATCAAAATAAGATGAGTGACTCTAATTTATAAATAGACAACCCCCCCCCCTCCCAAAAAAACCCCAAAAACCATCAAGGTGTAAAGTTTTCATCAGCATGTGACGTCATTCAAAGCACCAAAAGTTGCTAGAATGTTTGATTATTTGCTGAGGTAAATGTTCTTTTCTTGGTGATTCATAGTTGTTTCAGTACATGACAGTATTAAAGCACATGAAGAACTTTAATCACAAATTTGTTCAGTGAGCAAATTTTGAACAGAAAACTCCAAAACCAAATAGTGTTTGCCGTAAATGACAGCAAGGCAACGTTGCCCTCAGCTGTCAGGAAAGGTGCATTCCACGTGGTAAAAAGAGTGAACCTTACAAATATTTTAACCAAACACGAATGTCTCATAGTTTTCATACATTTCAGAGGACTGGAAATTTGCAAAAGTGTTAAAATCCAGTCATGGTCCCTGTAAAAGTCATTTGTGTCTGATTGTAATCTTGAAGCGACTGACCTTAGCTACTTGCTCAAACTCCGGTTTATACTGCTGGCACGGCATACAGTGTGGCATATGGAAATCTATCACCCAGGGCTCCGTGCTGCGAAGGACTTTGTCCCGGAAGTTACTCCTATCGATGGTTTCCACCAAGGAAGGAAGGAAGTTGTGAGCCCAGAAAAAGATGGAGTTGGAATCACGGAACCAACCGTTGTAATCACTGTCGAGAAAACAGCAGGAAAATTAATAATGATGCGCCTATGGTAGCAATCAAGTGTGTCTTAAGCGGCGATTAGAACTGTGATTTGAAAGGATACGCTGATTTTTATGATCAAGTATTTTGTTCCATTCTTCCAGAGCTGCAAATCGGAATGTCCGCTCGCCGTCAGATTTTGAACTGTACATGGAGGTAACCATGTTTTGGGCTGGAGGGGTGATTGTTCGATTGATGATATTCAGTTATTAATTCCTGGAGATAATCCAGGGCTGATCCATGTATGCATTTATAGGTGAGAACCTAAAAGTTTGAAAACAACTCAGGATATTACCGGTTATCATTGTAAGGGTAGACTTGGTCAGGAATATTTGAGATTGGAACTTTTAAGACAACGTTTGCAGCCTCTCTCTGGAACGAGATGCCAGACTTAGTACCTTCACAGGCTGTTAGTACCAGTGCTCTTTTCAATAAAACTAAGCAAGTATTTGATAGCAATTAAGTTGCTTTATTTTTTGGTATGACCGTTTTGGATTAAATGGGCTTTAACCCATTACAGTACCCACCGCCCCAAACAGCCCTGCCTGTTACTCTGTGTACCGCCCCAAATTTCTCCAGCATTGTATGGTTTTTTCATCAATGAATAAATACAATGTAATACACTGAGTACAGGTGCCAATTGCTTAAAAGTATAGCTGACCTTCTTCCTGTGTTTCCTGTTTTTCCAAATGGAAATGCGCGGATGGTTGGGTAGTTCCGGACTCCTTGCTGATTGCACAAGTTGGCGTGGGTGACACAATCAATGGTGCCAACACTGGCTGTGCCGTTCAATCTCTGGATAAGGCAATTAATGAGAAACGGACTCGTTTACTTGCTCCCATTCAGGTAACATTTCTTGGTATACCTGCTGTGTCGATGTCATGGCTTCTGGGAACAAGACCAAGATAGCTGCAATGTGGTATATCGGAGCTGGTTTCTGAAAAGTTGATAACAGTCATTGACATAAACACTATGTCAATGTCATAGCTTCAGGGTACCAGACCAAGATGACTGCAATATGATATACTATGGCCAGTTTCTTTAATTATGGAAACAGTTCCTTGGAATACAAAATGTGTAAATGTCAAGGCTTCAGGGCACCAGACCAAGATGGCTGCCATGCTGTACATACCTTAGCTAGCTTCCTCCATTCCGGCAATAACGCTTGGCACGGTCCACACCACGGAGCGTAGAAATCCACCAACCACATGTCCTTCTGGTCTCGATTGATGACCAGATTTTGGAAGCTGTCTGGATTCAGATCAACCACGGTGGGATGCAAGGTGTCCTGAAAATAACACAAGACACAAAATCATGGAGTAAATTGTGTGAATCTAAGGTACTCATTTTTTGGGTTATTTGCTATGATGCCTGTTTTCAAAACCTGTGTCTTATCAAGTCTTCCTTCTAACATATAACAATGCCTGTTACCTGAATGAAATCAACAATCTCGTCTGCGGTCTTGTACCCCATGTTCATGTGTGGTTTGCTGTCATTGTACATGACGGTAGTTGGGTAGGACCTGATATTATGCCGGGTACAGAGAGTGTTGTGGACGGTGCAGTCCACTGTGCCAAAGTTGACGTCCAACCGACGTGCGGCTGCTTTGCGTAACTGCGGTAACATCTGTTTGCATGGTGGGCAATGCTGTTCACAAAGAGCAAAAATAAATGAGGCAAATAATTTCTTCTCAGTTTACAAGAATATAAGAACCACAAAAAAACCTGGAAATTCAGGGGGTTTTATTGGGGGGAGGGGGGGGGGGGCTCTTGGTAAAATGTTGTTTCGTCTGAACCTATGACAATAATGTAACAATCTTCATTATTTCAACAAATTCAAGGTTGCTACAAAATTATTAAATTCACTAGAAAAAGTTTTTAGAAGACAATCGGAGTTAAATTAATAACAAAATTGCAAACTTGTTGACTTACTGGAGAGAAGAAATCCACAAACCACAACTGGCCAGTCATGACTGGTTCGGGGAAACTCTCCGGGCCCAGAATGTGAAGTCTAGAATCTACACCCTGTCTGGCAAAGGCTGCAATGTCCTGAGCAAACAGACGACCTGCGGGAGACAAAATAGACACGTTAACTAAAGCATTTCTGCTATGGACCTTCCCGGACGCTAAAATTATCCTTCTTTTGATGAAAACGATGGCGCATTCGTTGTACTTTTAACTTTATACTTTGAGGGGTCATCATGTATGCCTCATGTAAAGAAATACATTTTTCAAAACTTCCTGCACATTGGAAGGATCTGGGAGGACATGAGGACTCAGTTTTGCCTTTGTCATGACGGCTAAGTCAAGGCATATTATTGGTGAATGTACACACGCATGATACATGGTTTATTAGATATTCAAAATGAATGATCATCAATGACAGAAATAGGTCACTGCAATGCCTCCAGTTTTCCAAGTGTTGCATTACCATCAGAGACACAGGCCTATAAACCTTGGGCCACACATTCTGTTTTTAATCTCCCTATAAACTTGGGAGTTGTCAATAAAATTCTTAACCCGTCTGGGATGGAGCTTTTGCTGCCTGTATGGGCACTGTGCACAAGTACCCCCTCAACGGTAAGATAAGGACAGTTTGGGGAAACCACTGGGAGAGACATTCCAACGCAATGCCGACGACGCGTGACACTCACCCAAAGACGCTACTGCTTTGCGTACATTCAGAAAAAAATTAGCTGTGCATACTTCAGGCTGTATGCACGCGCACTAGTATACGAATGTGGTGTGTCCTGTCCACTGGGCACTCAAAAATGGTAAAAAGCTCCTTATCTTGTTCATGAACGGAACCCATTTTGTCACAATGCAATATATGTGAATCCATGTGAAAGAACATACCATGGTGGAATTCATGGGCACCTCCTTTCCTGAAGAGCGCCACCTTGGGTAGGTTGGTGCCAAGGTACAATGTCTGGCAGACATCTTGATGCTGGGTGCAGTTGAATTTCCCAACCTAAAAACAAACCAAAAACAAATGAGGGAATCATGCATAGTGTCACTGCACCGTCCTCCCTCAGAACCCCTGTTCACATCCTCCCATAGTAGATAAATTTTTACATTTTGTGAAATGTAAACATTTTGTATTTTTGATTTCTTTCATTTTTATCTTTCTTCACCTGATATTGGCTTTTTATTTCAGTCAAAAATTGTTGATGTGTGGCAAATAAATATTTTTTTGAATTTCTTAAACTGAATGTGGATTTGGATTTAGAGTTCACCTCCCTTCCAAGCAACATGTGCACATCTAGTTTTCATTTCTGGTGCAATCTAGACTGTAACTAAGGTGCCCCTTTAGAATTAACCAATGTGAATGACGATCTAAAGGAATATTCTGTAATAAATTTCCAAATGGTCCAGCTGCACCATCAGTTGACCCCCATGAAAATGAAGAGATTTGATTGGTTAGTTTACCGTCATGTGTTTCAGGAGGTACGGCAGTTTGCGTAGTTCAATCTCATGTTCTTCCTTCCCACTCATGAAATACACCAACATTACTTCGTCTGATTTGCCCGTCTTTAAATCATCCCGGCCACTCTGAAGGAAAAAACAACCCAAACAAATGATTAAAAAAACCTGCTAAATAAGAATCAGAAACCATTATCACCATTAACAGGCATACAACTGGAAATCATCAAAAAATGAGGGAGCTCCAAGCTTCACAAGACTATCTGCATAAAGGGAAGTTACATTTGTAAAAAAATAAGGAAATACGCGGATACAAGGAAAATTTGTATATCTGAATAAAATCAACCTCTTAACTTAATTTCATCCAACCTGTCAAGTAACTGTCCATCAAAACTGTGTCTCGGTAAAAACCCTGTGCCTTGCACTCTTTTTTGTTGGTTGAAATTTCTTATTCTGTTGGGGGGGACCAGAGCTTTGCGACACTTGAATTCATTGACAATTTAAGCATTACCTTCAATTCTTCACCAGAGAGTGTGGAGATGTCTGGGAGAAGTTTCAGCACTTCGGCAGCGATACTCTTGGGCTCATCAAGCTCAAATGTCTGCCAAGACACAACATGGAGATAATAGTCATTAATCCTAGCCCCTGAGGAGCGTCATTTGGCCCTGAGGGCGTCCAAACCCATGGACAATATCCTATCTTAAGTCACAATATGATATTTCAATTGTCATTTTGTAACAACAACAATCTAGTGCTTATGTAGTGCTTTATACCAAAGGTCTCAAAGCGCTTCACAATTATTACCCCTGTTCATCAGGCAATGAGACAATGAGAGTTTTTGCAGCAGCTCGAGATCCGCGCATTCTGGTCTCTACCCGGTACCTTCACAGGTACCCATTGATACTCCTGGGTGGAGAGAGGCAATTGTAGTAAAGTGTCTTGCCCAAGAACACAAGACCATGTTCCCCGTGGGGGTACCACGGCACATGAGTCAAACAACGTAACCATTACGTAACCACAGCGCTCCACAAAGACAGCATTCTTTTTCTGTTTTGACACCCCTCCTCTTTTTTTTAAGTCCAATTCTTCCATTGACATGCATATGGATCAGTATTGACATGTGCATATAATCTATACAAATTTATCATTGACAAATTGCCTGTGACTTACCCGGCTAGATGAAGATAGTGCTTTCTTTCCTGATGGGTAGTACTTGATGATGCTGTCATCAATATTTAACTTCTTGCACAACTTGGAGGAGGCCACGCAGTCCACAGCACCAACATTTACAACTTTGTTCTGAAAAAAAAAACACCACCCGATAGCAATTTCACACTGCAATGCTAAAAATTAAAAACCTGCTAAAAATTAAAAACCTGAAAAACATGACAGATTATTTTCAAAATTTATTTTAAAAATGGCAAATTTCTAAGTTTCAAACTACAATGTACAGAAAATAAAATTGAAAAAAAACCCAGACAAATACGATAAATGCAATCTGCCTTACCAAAATGGCAGCCAGTTTTGTTCGGTCTTCCAAATCCAAACAGCCAGCATGTGCTAAGTCCGTTGACTCGCCTTCATTTCCTGCACAAGGTCAAAGGTCAATTAATCCATATCTGAACAAAACTAAAAACTTGATTTCCTCTTACTTCATGCATCAACTTTTTCTCCCTCAAAAGCATAAATAAATACTATTTTTTAACATCTGCCACAACACACATGCAACATACAAACACTTTGCTCTCTTTCAAAAACTACGCAAGGATTGTTTTCTGTACACAAGTAGATTTATACTAAAGAAAATGATGCCAAGTACAGCAAAATGAACAGGTGTTTTCAATATTTTTAATTCGGTACAATGAATGTACAAGAGTTGTACTCATGTGTATCCCTGTGGGAACAAATGCACACACCTCAATGATGGCTGGGGTGCAAAGAGTCTATACGATACTAGCAACCAACAGTGAATTTAAAGTTACTGACAGGACATAGAGAAATGGTAATCGTTTTGCTGTTAACTTACAATCATGGCTACAAAGGCTCTGAGGCTTTGCGACATGAAAGATCATTATATCAGTCTAACTTTGATATGAATAACTTACAAACTTTTGAAATCGATCACGTTGATTAAGATATGAGGAAACTTATAAATGCTGACAGACATGTGATGACAATGTGAAACAGACAGATAGATGGACACATAGACAAACAGACCAACCTTCTGGTGCTCCACAGTATGATATAACCCATGGCTGGTCCTTGTGCTTCTCAGACAAAAGAATGGTCTTGAAATTTCCTTCAAAAATAAACAAATTCAATATTAGTTTGATGTTATGATGAAATCACAACAGTCGTAGTTTCCCTGGCAATAATAATACCAAAAGGAAATAAAACAAAAACAAAAAACCCAAAACAATGAAAATGAAATGCTGTTAAGTTTCATTTAAAACTTTGTAAAAAAAATGAACTGAGCGTTACAATTTAAAATGTCAGTAAATTTCAAATTGTATTCCTTTTTTTATTTCTTTTATTTTCTTCGAAATAGCTACTGTGTCACCTTTACAGTGGTTGTAAGCACACTTTCACAGACACCCTTTTTTACAACACCCACACAGACACATTTTGTTATGTAAATAAATAAGTATAAATTCCTTACACGACAAAAAGTTACTGTAAGATACTCCAACAAATGTCTTACCTGTCCAAATGGAATGGACCTCAGCCTTGACCAGCCACAAAGCATGCTTGATCAGATCTTGGAGCTTACGATTTCCTGTGAATTCTTCATTCTGCAGACAAATATGAAATAAAACAATGCGACTTATTCTACAAAATGCACAAACATTAGTTCTTGAATTATTAGCAAGTTCACGCAAAACTAAAGTTAACCACAATTTGACTAATTTCACTGAAACCTACGCAAGCCAACCGTAGTTTGATTTCTCAAGTTGACTATTTGGAAACACTGAGATTGGTTGCTTCGCTTGTGCACCATAGCAGGAATCCAACACACAGAAGTTCATGATAACGTTTTATCTGTTTAATGTTAGTGTGCACGCATTAGTCCTTATTGGTCTATGGTACTCATTCAAACTTGCTCAAATTCACAGACATGTGCTCAAACGTTAAATCTTGTTATCATGCCATAATTTAAATGTTAATTTAGTGGAAATTCAGTTGAACAAATGGTCAGTGGAATAAATGGTGCACCATACCTGAGGATAGATCTTGAGGGTGGGGAAGAATCGTATCCCCTGGGCGGTGCAGAGAGGGTTGTCGTCATGGCAATTGACAGCACCGATGCGAATCACACCTTCCATTTCCTTAGCAAACTCACGCCACTGTCCAAAAAAATAATAATAAATAAATAAATAATAAGCAGACCTTTTCGATTTCAAATATACTTCATTTTCTACTGTAAAATAATAAAAAATGAATACTGAAGCAGATGCATCGCCTTCAAAGAAGTTTATAATGTGCTTGTGATAATTTATTTCACAAATATGTATTTTTCTATTTTGAATTTGATTGAGAGCATGAAAAGGATTTTAAAAAAATGTATTCTACATTTCCTCATAGGTAGTCATTGTGTAATGAATATGTGTAATGAATATCAACTGAATATCGTTGGACAAACTTTTGATTTTGATCGTCAAGCTGTATATTTTGCTTGGAAGTGACAGTTTTGTTAGAAACTGTTTTTGTACCATTTTTGTTTCAGTTCACGCACTATATGACTTGAACTGAAAGTTGGCAACTTTCAATTCAAGTAATATAAAGCATGAACAAAAACAATGGGAAATTCAATTGGCTCTGGCAGTATTCTAGAAAAGAGAGAAAAATATGTCCATATTATGAGTACATGTATCTTTCCGTTTTTATGTACTATGGCTGACATTGTTGAATAATAATAATACCTTGCAAACAAAACTTCCCCCTGGATAGCGTCAATGCAAAACACAGTTATTAATGCACTTCTCTGGAATGCAGTGATTCCTCATGTGTAAGAATAGACTCACCAAAACCAGTGAAATAAGAACTAAATGCTCTCGCTTCTAGAATATTTCCAGCCCCTTTTTTTGCAATGTAAAATACAATGAGGGACTAGAAGCAGTTAATTTCATCACAAGTTCATCACATGTAAATCACTAGTCAATTCACAAGTCCAGCAAGTTGTAAGTAATGGGAGATGAACAATTTGGTTAGCTAATAACTTGTGGACGACATAAGATTCACGTGTGATGGGACCATAGAGCTATATTATATTACTAGAGCGCTAACTTCGTGTACAAAGGAAAGCCTGCTGGGCGCATCCATGTTTGCGCACAAACCTATGGAAACCTAGAAATTTTGTACGGCTTTTGTACGGCTATTTGCATACCTGCGTTTGTATTCCATACCGGTGCGTTATCGAAGCCAATACGCCCAAAACCGAAATGCACGATCAGCAAATGAGCGTCTCATTTTGCTCTACGCGAACAGCGCAACGCGTGCGCGCGCGTATTCGCTGCAGATGCTTTTTGTCGTCACGTTTTTTGAACCGTCAATGACGCGCTTAAGTTGTTTGCGTATGTTCTACTTGCGCGTTGCATTTAGAGTACACTTTTAAAATTCAATCCATCTAATTTCATTATGTTCTACAAACACGCACGTGAATTCAAAATGTCTGCGCCCAGGACGGCTTCAAAGCGTCTCCGCGCGCAGAATGAGGAGTTAGCGCTGTAGTACATGTAATTTAATATAGCTCTATGGATGGGACTCAACTGCAACGCTGCTAGAAACAAGTCGATGTCACTTTCATTATTTGGGTGTTCCGATGAAAATAATCAGGGAATCGTACATGTAGGTGCCTTTCATTCTGAGACTACACAGTGCCCACTTGTTCCTCAAACAAGAGTCCACAGCATAGAGGCACTTAGAGTCTACAGTGCCCCTCCAATTCTGAGTGGGGAAAGGAAGGGGCATAGGGGGAGGGGGAGAAACAAGCCTTAAGCAGGGGGGGGCACATGCCCTTCCCCATTCCAGTTATGCCACTGACTGTCCACCTGTCGCAACAAATGAAACTGTTCAAATTATTTAATAGAAGACTTACGATTGGGGCCAGGTCATGGCAATGATGGCAACGCGGAGAGTAGAAATTGACAAACCAGATGTCCTCACCAAATACCGATTGCTCTGAAACCAAGCAGCGAAAGGTGACATCCAAGTCAATAGATACCGAAAGATATGTGAAAAGTTATCTCAATTACCACACAAATAGAATTTCAATCGACATCCTGTTTGTATTGCACCCACTGCTTACATGAAATACTGACTCAAGAAAACCTTCTCAAATTCTTTATTTTTGTAAAAAAAATCCTGAAAATGTGTACATGTCAATTTCAGTTTCATTCAACTGACGCACAGCATTTCCTTCTTTGAAAAATAACGTGAGAAATTTTATCCTGGAATTTTTTTTGCTAGTTGAGTGAAGTAATAAAAAGAGAAACCTATTTTTTAGGATAATATTTTTTTTATAAAATTAAATTGGAATGCTGGAAAAACACCAGTGTGCAAACACATTAACAATTGTATTCAAATGAAAACATGAGTTGAACATGAATGCACACAAGAAATATCACATCAAACTCACCAAAATCAGTCTTGCTGAGAGTAACGACTTCAGGATCTTCATCGTAAAGACCTACAAAATGTTCAAGGGGAAAAAACATTGACAAATTAAATGTGGGATAACTGAAAACATGGAAAGATGAAATAATGAACACAAACAGATACATGTCCCCTTCCCTTTATAGGGATAATATTGCCAATTACAAAAAAACAGCTGGTTTGCATAAGGTTCATCTATGAGCTACGTTAGCTGGACAGTCAGGATAACCCACAATCCTTTGCGCTTCCATCACAAGACTTCTGTGATGGATCATAAGCTTTCTCAGGTCTTCACTAGATATCAGAAGTCAATCACAATTCATCGCAAGTCAATGAAAAGCTTCCCAGTCTCCAATCAGTTGACAAGCTATCCCAATGAATTGGGGTAAAGGAATGTTTTGGTCATCGCCAGTTCATGTTCACTTTTCATGTGAACTCTTGGTACCACCAGTGTTAGAATTTACCCAATTGTTTTCTGCGGGATCAATTATACGGAAGCTGAGGTCAAAACTTTTCATTTTATTACAGTTATCAATTCACAATATTTTCAATAATTTGTAATTTGTAGGTTTTTTTTCTTCCAAAGAACCCATTGATTACCTTTGACTGGATAAACTTAGTCAGGACATAAACGAATTAAAAAAAATAGGGTGTTACACAGATTGTAGATCCTATGTACTGCATTCTTGTAAATTCTTGCAGGTTTTTGAGGTCAATGTTTTAAGCATCAGCACATATCCCCTTCAACCGGGTACCCGATTGAAAAAAACATGGGTACCCAGGTACCCGTTAAAGAAACCCACCCCCACAATTCAAATCTCGGAAGGTGATGTTTAGATTGTTCACAAAGGTCCGTACGATACAGCAAGATACAAGTGTGTGCAGTGTGCATAGCTTTACAGTGTAAACTATAACTTTTGCAAACGTCACAAATGTGAAAATGGTTTGTTTTCCAATTTGTAGCCTGGTTTCCGTTCTCCACAAACAGCATTCAAAACCTTTCTGTTTCATTGTCTGAGAAGTTACTACTTGAGTAATATGTAAAGTTGGTTGCGGGTACCCGATCCCATGATCTGGAACCGATCCTGACATCAACAGTCCGGTACTCGGGTACCTGGTTCCGATGCACAGCCGTAACTTCCACTCAGTCTATAAATTCCTCACCAAATTCTGTCTTGTAGTACTGCCAGCTCTCGTAGCGATTCCATCTTCCTTGTCCTTGCTGGTCCTTGAGACCCTCCTCCCCGAACCGATCGTACTTCTTCCGCAGGTCGTCATCTTTCAGCACCTCATATGCCCTGTTGATCTCGACAAACTTATCATGAGCCTTGGGGTCATCCTGAGAATAGGAAAACAGATAAGTGGTTGAAAATAAAGTGATTAAAAAGACCTATTTTACACCCATAATGACTTAGTGATGAGTTGTTTTATATCAGCCGACATTTAAGAGACTGCCAATTGAAAACCTATTTTTGAACTCACATATTTCCTGTTTCAAAATGATGAACTTCTTTTTTACTGCAAAGCCAGAGCTCAATTGGACAAAAACAATCCCTTGTCATAAAAAAAATTCAGATTTGAGATTATTTCTATAAAAAAAAGGTATATTTTAGTATTAACAGAGGAGAAGAATGTTATCCAAAAATTCTGATAAATGCAGTGTATAAAGATGAATATTGCCAAAGGTTACAAAAATTGACTTACAAAACTAGCCTGCACATTATACAATTTCTTACTGAATAAATGCTGGCATGGGATTTCGCAACAAGGAAAGTAAATTGAAAGTTAATTGATATCATCGAAACTGAAAAAGTCATCAAAAGCCACAGCTGTTTGTGTCACACCAGGAAACCACAGGAATGACATAAAAGACGCGTGGCAGACAAATTCCAATGATTCAATTGATTCAGCAATTTGTAATAAATACATATGTACATGCTCAGGGCAATGCAAAAATGAAGAGCTATTTTTAACTAATTATGGCTTTTGGGTACGTGTAGAGTGCTTTGTACAATTATTCACTACACAATGAATGTGTATGTCTCGCAGGATCCCATAAAATTGATTTCAAAGACATTTGTTTCGTTTGTAATGTTCAATTGATGCCAAGATCATATCTTCATCATGACATATTCTCATTTTGAGAAATGGTCAGCTACTGGTATTGTGTTAGGGAATTTTAAGATTGTTTACAAGCTTACAAAAGTAGTTGACTTATTTGTTGGGTTGGGTTCATTTGAGCAGTTTTTCTATAACAGATTTTTTGCTTGTTTTTGAGTTTACCACATATTATGTAAATTACAAAAGGTAAACATATATTTTGAGGACATACATTTTTTTACAGATTAATATGGACTTCTGGAAAAAATGTTTCCCATTCAAAACTTTTTAAAGACCAGTTTCTCCAATTGTGGTCAAGACGAAATATCAGTCAAAAATCACTTGTTATGTACACATAGCCTGATGTGCCTTTGTGTACCATCCTTTGTGAAGCTCTACATTGAATATAGCCCCTGCGGCCCTGCCGATGGCACAGATGTAACATCTGGTACAATTTCAATTGAAGCCCATACCCTGTACATACAAAAACATTTTGCATGAATACAATCTGAATATTATGGGGACTGCATCAGACGCTGGCTATTGTGCATTTCAATTTTTTTTTCAATCCTGATTAAAAAGATTTCGTCTTACTATGAATCTGACAAAGATCATAATTTTACTGTCTAATCTATTTTGCAACAATCTGAAAAATACTCAGCTCAGTAACATAATGTACAGTAATTTAGGGTTTGAACCAACGTCAAGGAGCACTATTTGTGACTCACTCTCCCCAAACTAGGCTGAAGTCACTTAAAAAACCTTCTTTAGCTCAAGTGTTGAAAATATTGCACAGAAGTAAAGTATATTCCCAAATTCTAGATTATTCATATTGGCCAGGGGTTCGAATCCTGCTGCTGGCCATATGTTGTGCACGTGTCCTTGGGCAAGCCACTTCACTCCAATTGCCCCTCTCCACCCAGGAGTATCAATGAGTACTGGCATTAGCTGGGAAGTAGAAATAGAAACACTCTCAGCCATTTCATGCAACTGAAACCGAAGACAAATGCCGGCCTGATGGGCCATATTGGCTTGTGACAGACTTTACTTTATTTGTTGCTCATATCTGTCAAAGCTTTAGTATCAACAACTGAAGTTTAGATCAGTTGACAACAAAAAGACACATCTTGTCAGAGGGGTATAAAAGTTCCAAACTTAAATACTCCAGCCTAGTTTGGGGTGGAGGGTCACATTTCTCAAAACCAACCAGGTTCTTATCCGGATGCATCTTGAGTGCCAGTTTCTTGAAGGCCCGACGGATGTCCTTGTTGCTCGCATCTCGTTCAATTCCGAGCAACTCGTAGTAATCTTGAGAGGCTGAGCTGATGACTGTCAGTAGGCTCAAGAGTGCTAGTGCAATAAGGGTAGTCTTTACCCACGACCTTTGAACTCTACTCCTTTGCATGCTGTGACAACTTCCACAACGCTTTAAAAACGGTCCACCAGTACTTGCGTCCATTTTGTTGCTGGAGAAATTGAGAACTAGGTTTTTTATGTTAAAGAATCCTGTCCAGCAATTTCTTCTGATGATCTACATGTACATGTATCGGTAGTGCCTAACTTTACTTTCACTGATGTTGTAACTAGCCTGCAGGAGAAATTCAAAAAAGGTTCAAAACAATTATTTCACATAAATTGTACAAGTTGGAAAGTATTAATGTCACTTTTTGTCAAATGCATCCCAATGATGGCCAGCACTGCAATCATGATGAAAAAGCAACTTAATACAAATTAGGAAAAGAGAAATGTTTCTTTTTTGTTCAATGATTCAGACTGATTTTAAATGACTAACCCACCAACTAGCCAGAGGATTTGAAACAGAAAGAGTTGTGCCAAGTGCGCAGAGTGTTAAACTTGAAGTCTTGTATTGTGCAAAGTTAATGAAACAAAAATCATGTGATACTGATTATGCAGTACACATATGAGTTATGATATTACGTCCATTGAGGAAGGTTTTGCTATGACTAAAATACTACCCGACTACCTGCAAGTATATCACGGATTTCGAGCTGCACAGATTAACTCTGTGAACTTCGAACTCACTAGGATGAGCGTTTCAATGAAATTGAATTCAAAACTTTAGGCCTATTTTTATACGCAGTGGCTATTGTTACGGCAGCCGTATGGCATTGCAAAAATACCATTGCGTATCGATATCAACCATCTGTAATCTGTTGGAACTAGACTATCATTCAACCTAATGGTTCTCAGTTTTTATTTTCCTTTAAGAAAAATCTTCCCAAGCCCTAGATTATGAAGAAGAAATTGAAAGCTACTTGAGTGCTTAAATAAAAGAATGATTTGATTAAAAACATTAACCCTAACCCACCTCACTCCTCCAAAATCCTCCTGGCGGTTTTGGAGGATTCTAGAGGATTGAGGATGAATGGTGATTGAATCAAATGAGGATTCTGGAGGATTGAGGATGAATGGTGATTGAAGCACATGAGGATTTTGGAGGATTGAGGATGAATGGTGAATGAAGCACAAGAGGATTTTGGAGGATTGAGGATGAATGCATTTTGAGGCAGGACTGTCTGATGATTTTGAAGGATTTGGCGTTGGTTATCCTTCATTTAAACACGAGTGCAAAGTTTTGGGATGAGGAGGATTTTGGAGGATTGAGGATGAATGCATTTTGAGGCAGGACTGTCTGACAATTTTGAAAAATTTAGGCGGAGTTGCAAAATTTTGGAGGATTTTGGAGGATTGAGGATGGTTGTAAGCAACAAGGGCCTAGGGGGTTAGGGTTAAAGTAAAGAAAACTATTGCACAGCAGCAGTTTTGAACATGGATCCCCGGCACAGTAGTCAACCATGTACTAATTGACGACTGACGCGTTCTGGTTAGAAGGGTAGTTATAAATGTGATGTAGGGGCCTAGATTCACATTGGTGATTTTGCAAACCCGTAGCGATAGCAGTTGAAAATTAAGTAACGACTGCCGCAAAGATAGCCACCACGATTTTTATATCATCATGATTTATGAAAGAAAATGTTAAAATAATTTAATTTGTGTCCAAAGAACTAAGAAGTAAACAAAAATTTTTGTTTACAATCAATGTATAAATTAGCACTTTCATGGTAAGGCAAAAAAAACCAACTCAGTCTCTGGTCAGCGCATGCGTCGATTTTAATCATGCACGTCAACCTTTTTTTTTTCTTCAATTTAACACGGAAGCTACAACAGCGCCCTCTATTGCCGCTGTTGCCGCACCTCCTCAAATTTTTTGTATCAAGGAGCACCAAGGAATGGGGAAATTGCACCAAGACAAATGATTAAGGGCACCAAGTCAAATGATGGAGGACACCAATGTATAATGAGGACACAAAAAAGCAAAATAGTACCCACCTTGTCTTTACAATTAAAGCTTGAAAAAAAAAAAAAGCCACCCCCCCAAAAAAAAACTGCGTCGCTGCATCAATTCTGGAACTTCGGTCTGACCAGAGACCGATTTTTAATTTTTTTTGGAGATATGCACCATCTTGCTTACCGGGCAAATTTACACGCATTGCTGTGTACGCATCGTCTATCGCATACTTTTGCGCTTCCAAGTCATCATGCATTCATTCCAAAATCATGACTGTGCAACGTGTGTTCTTTTTGCCCGGTGAACAAGACCATGATGGCGCATATTTATACCGTGAATGTGTGTTATTGTTTTAATAGGCCTTTAATTGCACGTTTCCATTTTTAAGAAGTCAAAGGATTATTTGAATATTTTGATGATGTTAAAAAGACCATATAACGGTGCCCATATAACTAATGTGTATGTAATTCACTTATCCGTTTCAAAATAAAACTTAAAAGTTAAAGTAACTTTAAGTTTAACGTGTTGGGCCTAATAATATTAATTATTAGGCCTATATCCTCGACCCTCCATTATCTGCGCAGGTAACGCTTGTATACGCGCGCGCATTGTAACACACAAATTGGAGGTAAATGCAAAGAAAAAGGACCGCGTGGCTTAGTTTAGGGGTCTGACCATATAATTTATAATTAATAATAATATTAGGCCCCCTAATCCTGATCTGAACAACAGTATACAAATACAGTTACAAACATGTCAAAACTGGGCGTTAGAACGCTGTTAATTAGGGGTAATCATTCTGATAGGGCACTGTAATAAAGCCACATAATGATCAACCAAAATATTTACACCATAACAAACAAAACATAACATTAATCGTATTACATACTTACGTAAAATTTCACTTCGAAAACTTTCTAACTTATGCCATGGGAAGAACACTGCATGAACAAGCCGCGCCGCGCCGGTACACAAAATGTTTACACGCAGTACACATGTTAACTTCGCCGGTAACATGTGATCTACCATTCTAATTCAAGGATTTCGTGCTGGATACCAGCTACCATATTGCTGAAAGTGACGTGTCGCGATATCGCGAAACGTGGTTTGCAAACATTGAAATTGTTTGCAGATTTGGATTCAATAGTCAGTTTTGATTTTAAGCTTTTGCGTGATTTTTTTCGGACTTATGAGCTATATAGGTCCATTGCATGCATTAGAAAAATCACATCTTATAATTTCAGGCTATACGCTAAGGTATTGAATATTTTTGCAACATTGGGCTTGTTTTGAGCTAAAGATGAAGCCGAACTATAACCAAAACCGAGGCTTGGTAAAATTTCCTTGAGTTTCGTTTGACAACAGAGGGCAGCCTGATTGGCCTACGGTGTCACAGTGGTAAAAATCATGGATAAAATTTATATTTCTGTAGGGCATTCATGCATGACAAGCATTATCGTCGTCAGGCGCTAGGCCGTGGAAAAATCGAAGGGGGGGGGGGGGGGGTACGACTTATCAATAAATTGGGAAATGATTAGTTCAATCGTGTTCATTCGATGGATCGGATATTCAGATCATTTTCCCAATTCAAAATGTGCCATTTGCTTTTTTTTAAATTTAAAAAAAAAAAATAAACTAACATGGAACTGAAAAATACATAACATTTTACTGTTTATTAAATGCGTACCGGATTAAACTATTTTACCAATATGATGGTAACAACAAATGAATAAGTTAATGGAAAACCATTACGGTTGTTAATTTACCGCAAAATTGAATAAATGAAATGGCATAACTAAATTGATCATAAATTTAGTGATGTACCTGTAGTAAAAAAAAAAACACCGAAAAACCGTGGAAACACTATAGCAAACCGTGGGGACACTTAACTCAATGAAATAAAGGTGCATTTCGTATGTTCCCGCTGAGAATTAATACGTCTTGATTTAGTTGATTTATCAGACCATTTCGGCCAGGCTACGTGAAATAAATTACTTTAAAAAATAAATCCTACTCAATTCAAAGAAATGTTCCCCGTGGTATTCTCGATTTTTTTTTTTAACAATTGCTCTTTTCCTAGAAATAGAAAAGTAATTCAGTTTTGAATGAGACATCGAACGAAAAAACGCACCGACCTTTTAGTTATTGAATTATTTCTTCACAAAAATCGAATTATATATTGGCCGCGCTGCCAGACAATGATTTCGGCTACCGCAGGGCGGAACGTTCATATCATTTGTGCGTAAAATAAACTTTCTTTTTCAGAGGTTTGCAGACGCTCAAAATCGGTAAAAGTATTTTGTTTGTTAAAACAAAACAATCTTAATTGACAACTGGTTAGGAGAAAAAATAGTTATTTTGAACAGCGAGGGTATTCGTCTTTCATTACACCTCCAAAAAAACCCCAGAGCAACGGCCACACAGAGGTAGCTACACAATGATTGCACTGCCTGTGCGTCCATACGCTCTCCATCCGCCAAAATTTATTTCGAACCCCCCCCCCCCCACTGCATACACATACAAGCCACAAAGTGACTGCAAAATGTCTGTAACTGCCAAATAATGAGGGAATATTGCGCAATAACAACTCACTTTGCAAGACCTTAAAATGGGTTAATATCAAAACGTGTCCTCTGGATGAACCCTGCACGTGGTTCGTTGGCCGCTATTTCACCCCGCCAAAAGTACTCGCACACTCAACGAAGTCTAACCTTGGCGGCGCAGGATCAGCATGACGTCACCCTGGGAGGCCACTCACCCAAACTGGTAACCCATCTCTAGTTCGAAAATCAAGGAAAAGACCGGTTACCAGGCAATATATTGAGGTTGACGCCGAGTGGAAAATTCTCAGAAACGAAATCTCTGCGGTTTCTATGATGATGGATTATTAGCGCACGGATTGCTGTATAGTACAATCGTGACAATGGTGCATATTAAGCAGTTCAAGTAAAAATTGCATGATTATATACTAGCTCCCAACATATCACGCGAGTTATGTACGGCTACGTGTATTTTGTTTCTTGGTAAAAACACACCGTATAACTATAGGTTAATTAATTGAGCAGGAAATAATGTTGACTAATCTATCACCATAATGCGCACGATTGAATCGATTGAAACCCTGGTTGAAACTGGTCTTTTAGACAGTTCTCGTATCTTGGTAACTGAAAAAAATAACCACAAACTTATTTCAGACAACACAACTCAAATTTCAGCGCTTCAATCATCGATCTTTTTGCCGTCTATTATAGTTCGTACCATGACCTAGAAATTATCTGACCCTTTTTTTTGTTTGTTGAGCCGATAGCAAAATACCTTTATAAAACAGCATTCAGTCGATAAAAGATGTATTGAATCTAAATTTTGAATCAAAACAAATTCAAACATATCAACTGGTTGGGAAGCTATCCAATATTTTCATCAAATAAAATGAACTAGTGGAGGGGCATTCAACACTTTCAATGCTTTTACCGAAAGCGGACCATCAACACGACCTCAAACGACCCTGAGATATGCAAATAACATCGTGTAGGATGTTTCCAGGATTACTCCGCCGTCAACTATAATAATATTCATGCTTCAATAAAATCGTCTAAGTACAATTAGTGCGATTCTTATAAAATTGATATAATATTACTATCGAAAAACAACCTGTTTTATCATTATTATGTTAGAATTTCCTATTTTAATAAAGAACTACTTGGTTAGGGTGGATGTAGTGGCTACGCTTAGTGAAAATCATACGGCTTTGGTGTAAATGATAAAGCAGTAAATCGGCCGTTTCATGCTGACGATTTGCGGGTATACTGTACATAGATCTGCGTGTTGAGGAGACAGGAGGCCAGGCAGCGCAGGTAGACTATGCACTTGTGCCCTTAAATTGACCTCGCGTGTTGTTGTATCGATTTTCTTCGTTTATTTACGTCGTTTCGGGCACAAGCTGACCACGCGTTGTCACATCTTCTGGTTACTGAGACATCAAGTCAAGACATCTAAGTCACATCAGGATAACATTGTCGTTATTTCCGTGGTCTTCCTACTCGTTGAATGCAGTAAAAGGTAAGATTCCTGGACCGCTTGCCGCACCGTACCGAGTACGAGTGGGCGACATAACCATTGACCACGGCCACTGACGGCGTCCACGCATTCTCGATCTCCAGTGCGGGGACGTTGTTCACTCAGTGCATAGTGACTGTCATGACTGTCCACAGTCGTTCACCACGGCGTAGTATGGAACGCCGTATTATCGCGGTACTTATCACGTTTCTCGTTCGGAATAGAGATTGCCCACTAACCTTCCCGAATTGTCCTGTCTTATGTGTAGTATAAGTCTTCCTTTTTAAATTAATATAAAAAAATCTGACGGGTAGTGTGGTTTATTCCGTGTACGATGCCTGTGAAAATAGACATGCGCGGCGTGTGCGAACGGAGGTGGACTCCCTATTATCGCGGTATGCGGGAAGTGGTTTTTATAATGATCCCAACTTTTTTGTTCATAGTTTATGTTTGACCAAAACACCCCCTGAATAAAGTGTGATATTTTCCCTGTAACATTCAAGTTGATTAAAGACAAAATGTCTGCAGGATGATTTCTTAAGACCCTGCCCTTCCCCCGAAAGGAGAACACAAATCCCTGAGGCAAGTCTACTGATCGGCGATTGAGGGCGCCATTCACTTTACACGGTGTGCCGTTTTATTTTCGCTAAGGCGCGGTGCTTATTTTGATCCCGTAAAAGTTGTTACGATTTCGCGCTGCAAATATCGTCGTTCGACTTCATTTTACATTTGCAGCTGAAGAATGGGAACCAGACAATGGAACTTTCATGGACAGAGCGCAATTAAAGATTTATGTTAAAATATAAACGGTACCTTTTAGCAGACACGGTGAGAGAAAATTTTGCAAGTTTTGGAAAACGTTAATATTTATTAAAATCGTTAAAAGTCCCGAAAGACACAACATTTTTTAATCGTCCTTTTTATACAACTCGGTAGAAAATCCTTAATGACTGGTGAACTGGATAAAAATCGCCACTTCAAGGAGTTTTGACACTAAAAAGAGAAATTTCCCATGCCGCGATAATAGGGATGCCGCGATAATAGGGAGTCCGACTATACTAGTACAGTGGCAGTAAACAATGTTTTGGGAGGGTACTTACTACTGTTGTGCGCTTTCTTGTGATTTGCGCAATCATAAGAATGCGCATGCACATTCTTATGATTGCGCAAATGGATCTTTGCGCAATCTTCTCAAAAAAAATTCTTCCAGATTGAGCGCACATTCTTAAGAATGCGCGACAAGATAACGGTCTTGTCGATGCCGAGCACCGGCTGCACTTAGCAAGTCTAGCTACATCCTCGTTCACTGATTCTTAATATTAAATTATATTGTTGCAACGCAAAGTCACTTACCTAGGAAAAGATTTAACGATGAAAGTAGAGTGGATATGAAAGTATACACGTATTCGGGGGACTGGGAAAAAATAAGAGACATAATATAAATAGTGAAATGGAAAGAATTCTGATTTTTGGGATAACAAAAGGGGAGGGGGGCATAAGAATGAAGAATGTGAAGAATGACTGAGAATGAATATTGTTGATGTACCCTAACGTGGCGCGGCCCCAAACGTGGCGCACTTTGATTTTTCGCCTGTAGCGCCTAGCTAGAGCAAAAGTTTTAACTGAAATTTCACAGAAAGTGACATTTCATCAAGTTCTAAACACTCCCGTTCATAAATCGTGATTTTATTCACCCGTTACAAAGTTAGAAGATTATTATTTTGGCGTGATTTTCCGATTATATTTTCAAGTGCAAAGTGAACACTTTGAAAATGCCCCGAAAAATAAGAAAATTTTTTGACAAACATCTGGCTGGGTATGTAAGTAGAGATAATAATGATTTATCAGAATTTATCAAGTAAACAGAAATTCTTAAATGTTAATTTGGAATTTTCCGAGATTTATTTAAGTGCACCACGTTTGGGAACACACCGCGAATT